TTGGACAAATTCAAGGACCTATCAAGTTTTTCAAGGACCTAAGACGTTTTTCAAGCACTTTCAAGGACCTAAATTTAGCAAAAAAAAGTTCAAGGACTTTCAAGGACTCTCAAGGACCGTGGGAACCCTGATATATATATTCTTATCATACAGTCTAACCATATACATACTTTACTCTACCTCAGAAAATAATTAATAATAATTAGAATTTTGAAACTTATTTTTAAATTTCTATGTAGATGTGTTCTTTAGATGTCCCTCTACCAGTTTGAACTAAAGTTAATAGTTTTCACAAGTTATTAATGATATTAGTAGAAAGTTCATCTACAGCTTAAAATAACATACTATATAAGTTGATCACAAGTAGGGAGTTTGTAAATATTAAATTTTTTAACAGTTTCCAAAACTGAAATAAAAATGTTTGCTGCAATCCCAGTAACTGTCTCTAAAAATATTAAACAAATTATCTCAATTTAAAAGGAGAAAATTGATGTTTTTTTTAACATATACCCACTTTACCCCATTTAACAGCTTTTCTCCCACCTGACCCTACTATTTCAGTAGTAGTAGTATACTGATAGGAAGGAAGAAAGGATTATATAAATTTAAACTGCCAGAGCCATTTAAGATAATTACTCAATTGCAATACCTGTTAGTATTGCAGTATGTTCATCTCCACAAGAAATTTGCAATATTGGATCATCTTTAATCCAAAATTTGCCAGCTACATTATCAGAAAAACGACTTCGTCCAAATGTGAAAGCAGCCCCACAATCTAAAAAAATAATAATTTACATTTATATAATAAATTATATAATAAAATTTGCACATAATAATAAATAAATGCAAACATTTTCATATTGGTACCAGATCCTGCAAACTGCAATCTCTAAGGTACCACTGTGAGGTATTTTTAATTAATTCACTATATATGCATAGAAGCTACCCTGTCAAGGGCTGTGACCCTTTAAATTTGCCCTTTTCTACGTATTTTTTATTTTAGTTTCTTGTGTATGTTTGGTTGGTTTTCTCCAAAACTTAGTTACTACTTTGGCACAGATATCGATATAGAAATCTTCCCATAGGTCTTTCTTAAATGCTAAATACAATTCAAAATTTTTTTTATATAGTTTTTAAAAATGAGAGCATTATATTCTAATGCTTCCCAGTGAAGAAAAGCTGTCAATTACAGAACAATCAATGGACTAAATAATAATGGACTGGCTTAGTAAAAGAAAACAGTAGCTGCAATCTAGGAATGAAAAACATTGTTGATTACCTAGAAGTAGATCTAATTTATGAATTATTACGCATTATCATTATAAAGACACTATTAAAGAGGTCTACTTGCTATCAAGCAACAACTCAGCCACATTGCAACTGCACTCATGAAACACCTATTATCGTCCGTCAGGCTATTTTGAACTTATAAGTTATAGGCAAATTTTTTTTCTTCCCTTCTTGATTTAGCCACTAGGTGAAAAAACAGCAATTACTTTCAGAAAAAATCAACTAACACCTATACATGGTGAAGTGCATCTATAAATATAATAAATATACCTGCTTTTGATAAATAATGAGTTTATTACCAACAAGCTGATTTTTTGAGAAAATGTATTTCCAAACCACTATTTAAGAGACCTACTTGACTTCAGTCAGATCTGTCAATAAGTTAATATAAGAATGACTTATTTTACTAGCGATGAGTTCCGGCTTACTTTTAAAAGACTGAACAAAACAAAAAAACTTTTATCCGAGCCAGGTGTCATACAAGACCAAAAGTCTGATGATGTCTTAATAAGACTATTCATTATGACTTTTTTTAATACTATCCTTCCTCTGAAAAAAGAAGCAATAAAAAATTGTATTTGCAATTTCTAATTGCTACGACCAATAAACCGCCAGACAACCACATAAGAATTATAATGCTATATTATTAAAATTTCTTGTTNCATTAGTTTTTTTTTTTTTTTTAGACATTAGGTTTGATACTTCTTAATTTTTTACAAAATTTTATTGTGTACCTAATAACCAAGCACAATAGATTTTAATATAGTCGTCTATATTGAAGGTGATAAAAAAGGTAATGCATAGCTCGCGTGCCCGAAATTCTTACACCACCCCGGCCTCAATACATTTTTTTACTTACACCTTTCCAGCCTCAACACGTTTCTTTTTCTTTTTTAACAGGAAGCTTGGACTGAATGCATCTCATCTCCAATATCTACAATCTTTACTACTGTTCTTCATTGTTAAAAGTTGCTAGCTTCTCAGGAAGATTTTGAATCATATATACTCCAGGAAAAAAAATTGGAGTCTTCCTGCCATGGGAAACTATATATAGATATATATATAGTACAATAAATAAATACAAAAAGAAAAAGTTCTTAATTTTCTTTTTGTACTTATTTATTGTGCTATGTTTTTTCTACATTTTGAACTTATATATATATATATATATATACATATGTGTGTGTGTGTTTAATTATTATTTAATATTATGCTTAATGTATCTAATTAATATATAATGTTTAAATTACAAAANTTTTTTTTTTTTTTTTTTTTTTTTTTTTTTTTTTTTTTTTTTTTTTTATTTCTTATGTCCTACTATTAAATTAGTAATGAAACTAAAGTTTCATAATTTTTAATAGATGTTACATTAAATCCGTAAGGAAGTAAAAAGAATCCGTAGAGACTGTAAATTTTAAAGATACGCAACTGATCGGATATAACTAAATTTCATTAAAGTAGGAAGACGTAATTCTGCTATAAATAATATATTAATAAACGAAACAGTTTGATAAAACTAACATAAAAAAAAGTATAAATATCAAATTTTCTTTATATTTTGTAGCCATAAAACAGAAAATATTTTCCCGTCTTATTTATAATTGTCATATTTTCTTAAGCTTCTAAAACGATTTATTATGCAAGTTGTTATACATTTAACAAATTAGAATAATAAAATCTATTCTTAAACCAAAAGAGATATATAATTAAACATATTAACCAGGAACATCATTGTCAATATCCGAAGCCATGAATTAAAAGGGCGAGGGAACTTAATTGTTACAAATTCCAATACTAATTATATTTATATTTTTAAATGTTTGTATAATTTTTTTACTAAAGAGATAGTACTTGCTTTTGCCTCTATTGTATACAAAAGCTCTATGGAAAAAGTGTCAAAAGATTCCATGGTTTAATCTGAATAAACTGCTTCAGTTTATATAAATAGATTCAGCTTTGTAAAAGTTTTTATAATAAGAACGTAAACTGAAAAAAACGATGCATCTCATCAGCTGATTCAAAACAATCAGTCTGCAATGTTAACCATCAACTAAAGCCACAAAACCATGTGGTTATGTTTTTGTTTATGATTGACATATGCAATGCCAAGAAGTTTGAAACACAGCATAATATAAATTAGATAATATTTAAGAGTGCAATCAATGTTGAAACTATTTTATTTGATTTTAAAATTTTATATTAATTTAAATTCTCTGCATCAACTTTTTCAAAGAACAATTGTGTGATAATTATTAAAAATAATAATGGAGGAGAAAAACACAAAAAAAGATGCTAAATTATTAGGTATTTGATTTTTAAAATCGATTTATAGCAGTATTAGTACTGTTTTATAATTCAGATAAAAGCAGTGGTCAAAAATGGTAAAGAAAAGAGAATAATTATGTCTCTATTTTTCTTATAGAAAAAATCATGAAAGTTAATTAAATATGAAAAAGTTCTTATAACTTATTGTGTTTAAATGTCCTTAAGTTAACGTTTCATGTGTTAACTGTTCTCATGATGTTTATTTAATTAAAAATATAATCTTGAGGATGAAATTGAATGTATTTTCAAATATTAACAAAACTTTCTTACTATAAATAAATATTTTTTCCTCTATGTACTGAGTGTCTTCTCATAAGTTTGTGTACTCTTTTTGAATTCTACTCAAAGTACTAAACAAGCACCATATTTGTATATAAACGTATTTCAACGAAATTTGAGAAGTAGAAATTAAAGAAAGTATGATATCTGTACCTATGCCACAAAGGTCACTAAATTCTTGGGACAACTGGGCATTGGCATTATAGGAACTAAAACAAGCATCACAGAAGGGAACGGATCAGAGAATATAACTCCTAGCCACCCCTGAGTAAACCACTGCATTATTTTTAAATTTTTTCCAAGTACAAAAACCTTTTGACAATGGTAATGGGCAGGAATAGGTAGTATGCAGAAATATCCCCAGTAAAACAAAAAATTATTCCTCAATTATGTAATTTTTTTTTAAGCTTCTAAAACTAGAAAAATTTATTTCATTACTTATAATAGGAAATGTTTAACGTAGTGCTAACTAATTAAATCCACTAAATTTATGTAGAAATTATATTGTGCATTTATTTTACATCATTACTGAGATATATTGTGATATTTATCTATTCATTAGATATGTGTTTAGAAATCACACATTTTTTTAATGCTCAAAATTTAGCAAAATACATGTAAAGAGCATAAAAATTTTTAGAAAGTATAAAACCTTCTATGTAATAAGATCAGTTGTTTTAAATTAACTTTTAGATTACTATTATTATATTAAAAAAACATAATGAAATAAACCAAAATCCACTTATGAGGTGTTTGAAAGTGTTTATCAATTGGTATATGATTTTTACAGATTTAATGTAGTTTCATCTAGGCACTGTTCATTTCAAAATCTCATGGGTACAGAACCTAGGTTATGAATTTAATGGAATCAAAACATGCTAGTTTACTGTTCTGAAACTTGAATATAAGTATTATTCATTCTGCTACAAGTAGCAAAACTACTGTAGTCACTACTTTTTTCATAGTTTGAGTGTAGGGATCTACTTTTAAGAAGAAGTAGTGTATTGAGAAGTGCAATACAAAAAATAAAATAATAGTTATTTGTAGCATTTCATGGCAACTAATTGTTAATTTGTTTTGTTTTGTAACCATTGTTAATTTTGTAAAGAACAAGGTTCAAACAACTGATTTGTCAAATATCTGATTGGTACAAATATGTGCAGGTTCGTCAGTGGACGTAGTGATAATTCTCCAAGCATTAATAAAAATTATATCTGATACTCCAGAGAAGTGAGTTTTTTTTCCTTCCCTTTAATGAAGCCATTATTACCATAACCATAACTTCACCAATACCATAATTATAACCATAACTTCAATTGAAATACACTGTGCACTCATGAAATTTTATTATGGTTAACTTGTTATTTTGCTGGAGAGGGACATATTTGGTACTATTTCTTAGAGGAAATAAAAAAGCATTAAGCACCTAAGAGCTTTCTTGCATTTCTTAAATTAAATATTTGCTGCCGTGAAAAGCATAAAAGTGAAGAAAATATACCTAAAAAATGGTTTAGAATAAAAAATTTACTCATGTGAACATGAATAAATATTTCTTAATAATTTCTCATGTTTAATTAAGCAAATTTTTTGATCATTTTGAACTTGGGTATTCTCCAGCGAAGTTTATGTTCTAAATATAGTGACTACATTTCTAAAGTTGCTGTAGTTTTAGTTAACTACAAGAGAAATGTAGTTTTCTGACCAATGATTCCTTTCTATTTTATTAATGTGACTTTTTAAAAAAAAATTTTTTTTCTTGTTTTTATAGTAAAAGCTATTTCTGACTCGTATTACCTTATCACATGTATTTAAGTTGTGTATGATAATCTGAAAAATAATATAAAATATAAAGGAAATTGAAGCAACTAAAGTGGCAATGCTGAGTAATTGAAATTAACTATGGAAATTAACTGAGCTCAGAAGTACAAATATAGAGAAAAAAACGCACACACAAACTCAGATTTGTAGACTTCAGAATTGAGAAATATTTTTTAGCTCTCAATAGAGGATTCTTGAACATTATTATTGAACCCAGAATTTCAGGTTTAACAAAACGTCAATTTTTTTTTTCTTCCTCAAAGTATATAAAAACTAATTTAATATTTAATATTCATTTGTGTTTTTCAAAATAAGTAAAACTTTGTTATTTTGTTAAATAACCTATGCAGATCTTACATTGTTTGCTAAGATACAAAACTTGAATTTCATGAGTTTATTTAATATCTTTTTTACTTTCATGGAAATTTGGTTTTATTGGCTCTGTTGGCAAAGTACCTATATTTGTTACCTACTGCCAAATAATTAGTAATATATTAGATACCTACTGCCAAAGTACCTTTTATCACCATAAATCAAATGTCACTGACATTAATAATAGTTTGCTGATGTTTTACCCTACCTTCTAGAAATGGTATAGTGCCTTTTGTTCTGGTATTAAAATGATAGCACTACAACACTGACTATGATCACGAGAATCAAATATGTAGAAAATATTTATTGTTCCTCTTTTTATTTGAAAACAGTCTGTGTTTATGTAAGTTATTTATTTTAAACTTTTTTTCCTTGCAGAAACTTCATTTTTACTTACTGTTACTGGAGTTTCAGTTGTAGGAGGTTTTGGCATGGCATTAGCAATGGCAAAAAAAAAAGATCCTGTTTATTTCCTTAAAGTAAGAGACTAATAATTGTATTACTTAAATTTCTTTTTTTTCTCTCTAATATTTCTCTAAAGACTCAATAAATGGATATTTTATAAATTGTTATAATGTAATTGAGCTAATATATTTATATATATTGTATTAGTTACAAATTTGTTACGTCTATTTCAGGCGTTATTTAAAACTGTATATCTTATGCAGGTTTATTTTTCCTGAGATTTAGGGTTACGCTTCTTGATATGCACTCTGGATATAATTTTACCACCCTGCATCCCCTTTGATTCGTGGTTATATGCCTTTATAGTATATATATATATATTAAAAGGCTCTATTTGTGCTGATTCTACAGAAAACCATAAAAGTTTTTATTATTATTTTGAGAGTTGTTTCAGATATTTATGTATTTTTTTTTCACCATTCTCTAAGATTTTAAATATTTTTATTGCAATTTTTTTATGACATACAATTTAGATCCACTCAAATGTATATTAAGTTATTGAGGTGCTCGTTTTGCAAGAATTTCAGCATAATTATGCATCATTTCATGATCATTCTACCATTTTTATAGGAAATTTAAGCTCTTAAAGTTCTAAATACATTGTTTTTACAAATATTAAATCCTGTTTGTGAGTAGTCACTGAATAATATGCTCGATTTATGAAGATTTTATGGTTTTTAAATCTTGAATTTATCCATAGGAATTCAAAAATTTGAAAAACTTTAGAATTGCATTTTATTTTATTTATTTATTTATTTTTTTGTTCAACTGTTGTGTAAAAACTAGAATTTTTTTAAAGAAAAAATAACAAACAAAAAAAGCTTCAACTCATCTTTTTATGTTATTTCTTCTTCTAAATTCTTCTTAATTTATTATTCAAAATTAAAGGCTTTCTCACACTTTATTATTTACATCTGCTCTTTTGGTCCTATATTTAGATCTTAAGTATGCAAAAATTAACATTTTAAAGTTTTCCCTTCACTAACTTATTCCCTCGATCTATTTAATAGGCCGATTGTAATTACTAACGTTTCCCTTTTTGCATGTGATTTAAAAGTTTATCAGGACTGAATTGCTAAATTTTCTCTAGCTTTTGATAGAGAAGCACTTTGACTTTGGATACTTCGTTTTCTTGCTCTCATACAATGATTACTTTATAAAAAGTTTTATTTTGCTTTGTCATGCCCGTTTATTTCTCCAGCTCGGGCCACGTTGCTTTTTATACACATAGTGCTTTGCCATTTTTAGGTATAAAATAAACCCTCCTTCTTATTTAATTTATAACAAAGAGTTTAGATCAGTTTTCAAAGTAGATGAAGCTTTTTTCATTTTTTTTTTCAGGGTATGATGGCTACCAAAGAGCTACCTGAAAGTGGTGGATCCTTAGCAATGAGAGCTCTCGGATGGGGTACTTTATATGCTGTTACTGGCTTTAGTGCTGTTTGTTATGGAATATGGAAACTGATGGGTGTGAATAATGTAATTTTTTGTGATATAGTTATAATCTTAAAGTGTTTTGAATCAACTATTTAATTACCTACTTTATTTTAGCAATTAAATCATCTTGAGTTTATTCTATTTTCAATGATTATTTACAACTAAGCATAGATATATTTGTAGAATTATAAACAGTGAAATGCAGAGAGAGGCATCCAGACTAAGGCACCCATTTAACCATTAAGGACATATGAACTATAAATCTATAAGTTTTATTATAAAAATTAAAATTTATACTAGAAAAATAAATATCTCAAGCTAAATATTTTATTAAAAATAAACTACAATGTTAAAAAAAATTTCCCAAGGAAGTTTTAGGTTGTCGAAATGTAAGTTTAATTTAGATTTAAGAAAAACTTGAGAACATTAATAAGTTTTACAGAATAAAAGAATTTCGCATGCATATGCATAAAAATAAGTTTAAGATATGGATTTAGATTTTTATAAATACAGGAAATCTTTCATCAGTGACCACTCTCTTTTCCACAGTAAAATGGTCATTAATAGAGGTTGGTTGTTCTTAAGGGTTACCTCCATTGACTTCAAAATGTTACTGAAGGTACATGAAGACTGAATCAATGAATAAAATTTAGCATCAGCAAAAATGATCCCCACTGATATAATTATGAGTAAAAACAAAATTACTAATTATGAATGATAGAGCTATTTTAAATAAATGAACAATTATGTTTTTGTTGAAGTTTGCATTTAATTTTATATCATAAATTTGGTAAGCAATAAAAATGAGAAGAGATTTGTTTGTTTGTTTCTTCTAATTTAACTTTCAATTCTAAAAATGAATCATGAGTAGCATCATCTTTAGTGCACTCTGACTACAACATGAGGTTGTAGATCTCTCTTGGAGATCATTAGAAAGAGATCTCTAAATAAGAACCTCACACAAATATTTTGAATACATTTTAATCTACTTATTTGTTCTGATATTTTTTCGTGTTTCCTTATTTGACTTTTTCCGCATTTAATGCAGAGGGTTTTCCGGTCGCTAGAAGAGGTTTTGATAGTCTCTCCTAAAGATTTTCTTCAACACAAAGCCTGTGAAAAAAAATCCATGACTCCAGTCTATTCTAAAGATTTTTTTCAACACAAAGTGTGCGGAAAAAATTCCGTACCTCAAAAAAGTGGTCGTAAATAGAGGTGGTCTTTCCTGGAGGTCCCACTGTACATAGATTTTCCAATGTTTTTTTAAATTTTTGTTCTCTTTTTTAACCCTTCCAGTAGTTCTCTTTTTCCTTTTCAGGTGCATCTAATTGAAGAATTTACCCTAAACATCCACATACCTCTTCTCGTCACTGATTGTAAAATTTGAGATACTTTAAAAATTCATCCTTTAATTATTGCTTTACCCTAATAAGTGCTGTGAGTATTTAAAAAATTACTTAAGGAAACACTAATTTAGAATTTTTAAAAAGTTGGATTATTTTATTTTTCATACTGCACTTGTCTGTACAGTGTGTAAAAAGAGAAAAGAAAGTATTATTAACTGAATAAATTTGAAACAAATGATTGAATTTTCAATTGTACTGTTGTATACTTTAAGAAAAGGAAAGAAAAAACATTTAGAAAGGGTCAGGATTTTTTTGAAATTCTGTAAACATATATACATTATTTTATTTACATATATGTTTTGTACAGTAAGTGCAACAAAAAAATGTCACAACCTGACTAAATTTTGATCTAATGATTAGATTTTCTCACAGTAACAGGAATTTTTAATAATTCAAGGGGTGAAGTGAGACATTAGTGCAGATGATAATTTACGCTTAAAAATCAGACATCAGACATAAAATTGTAACTTTCTCTTAATTATTTTTTATATATTTTAGATAATCTAAATTTGTGATTCTTATAATATAGGAGGTATCTGCTACTTGAAAAATATAGTTCCACTTATTAATTTTGAAGAGTAGTTAGAAGTTTAAACCACATAATGCTAGATTTTCTTAATGCATATTTCACTAGATCATTGAAACTTTTTTTTTTTTGTTAATTGATAAATATCGGTGTTTCTTGTTTATCTTGCTTTAATTACATGCACAAAAAAAAAACTTTTTACTAGGTGTTTATTTTCTTATTTAGTACACACAGGTCCTGCTTTAGTGAACCATCTGTGGACCCAGTTATAAGTTCATTATAAACAATGATTTATTCGCTAAAAATCTTTGAAACAATATTCAGTAATATTGTTGGAAGTGGTAATTACAATAGTACATAATTTGATTTATGAATTATTACTAACTAAATATGTAGAGTCGCTTAACGAAGTTCCATTACAGCAAATTTCATCCTGTAACAAAATGTTTAGTCGAAATGTTAAATAACGTTCAAAGTATTCTGCATCAAAGGGGTTGTCTCCATATAACAAGTTTTTCCGATGTTTATCTTTTTGATTTTCATCATATTTAGATATTTATCTTTTTTATTTCCATCATTTTTGAAAAAAGGATACAATTAAAAATTTGAACTTTTATGCAACTAATTCGCTTCACCATGTGCTTGTTTTTGATCCACATGCATTATTCATTCCAGTGAAATGACTCACTTTAATGCTCCTTTATTTTAATTAAAAGTCATAATTATATGCTTTTGAACTTAACCAAATTTTGCTCAAAAATTTATTATTTAGGATAAGTGGCTTGCCTATTAAAAATGACGTTTTATCAATACATTTAAGTTTTTCCTGGAACATGTTAATAACATACTTTCTAATGAATGTTTTTTTTTATTCAGCTAGAAGAATTTCGACAAAAAGTTGGAAAAAATCTTCCTACGATCCCAAAAAGTGAAAATCCTGGTCGATCTGATTTCAAGAATTTACGAGAACTTCTTAACTATATAATTTCAGAAAGTGAAAAGGAAAAGAAAAAATGATGTGGAAAAAGCATAGAACTGTTATTTATAATCCATGTACAACTCATCTTGTAATGCTATATGTCATTTGAAATTAAAATATTTTAGTGAGTACAAGTACATTTTTTAGTTTAACTTGACTATTAACAAGTGTAAGTATAGTACCATGTATGGATTTTAAAATAGAAAAAAGTATGTCTTTATAACTTTTGAATTTGTGATCAGATTTTCTCATACTAGGACTCAATCTTTGTAATTTGAGAGAGTAATCTTAAATATGCTAGTTGATTTGTGAAGAGGGTTACAGAATCAGTCCCAAAATCTGACTTTCTGAAAATAAACTACTTTTTAAAATACATTTTTTTAAACATGCTATGTTTCTAAGTTTTACTACTCAAAAACAATTTTGTATTTCATCATTTAAAAATAAATTGTGAAAATTGTATAAGTTTTACAGTTTAAAATGTTTTTGATAATTATTCAATTAACTGAAAAAATAATAATAAATAGAAATTATTTTTTAACCTTACATATATTTAGTTAAATTTTATATCCTCAAAAACTTTGTTAAATTATTTTTAAAATGTAAAAAAAAATTGTGCATTCAGTATTTACTTTTTTTTATGCACAAATTTTTTTTGATTTACTTAAATAGTTCCAGATATTTAGTAGTACATGCAGAAAATGAAGTTAATATTAAGATGTGCAATGTTTTAACAGCCCTCCTGCTGTAATAATTTTGTTTATTTTTTATTGATTTTGCAAATATCACACACTTTTACAAACAATAGTATCTATGCGATTAGTGTGCATGCTCTCCAATATTTTTCAATTATACAATTAAAATGCAGTAGTGCAGGGCACATATCTAAATGTTCAACAGTCATAGGAAGACACAAAGAGAACAGTCAGCTAAGTAGATACAAAAGAGGTGAGACCTCAGAAAATCATGTCCGGTTAAAAGTACAAAGCTGCTTTTCTAGGGGTATTAGGAACATAGGTTTTTCGCATAATTCTCAACTTGCGACTCCCAATTTATGTACTTTTTACTTAATTTTTTACTAAAATTCTCAAAATATGTATAAGATTCTCAAAATATAGAGCATAGAGCTCATTATTAGTGGTGACCAAAATATATACCCCTAGTTGTCAAAAGTGGCGACCATAGGGAAAGTCTAATATAAAATAACTCGTGCTATTTATGCAGATTCTATTGTAAATCAGCGTCCTATTTTTATTGTTTTTTCGGCGATTTTTTTTCTACGAATTTCCACATTTTTTTAAAAAGTATACTTTAACACACTTGAATATGTAATTGCGCCTTTAAACAGTGACATTTTGATGGACTCAGTTTAAGACGATTCCACCGTCAATTTGCAAAGTATTGTCGGCCGTTTTTTTTTTTTTTTTTAAATTATTAGTTCGACATAATTTTTAAAATCTCTTGAAAACTGATTTAAATCAAATCTATTTTGTGTTTCCAAAAGAATATATTGAATCAACTATCCCATTGCTGTGTGTACACTTATTTAAAAGTGGATGCCATTTAATATGACGCTAGTGTTAACTGTTTATAATTACTAGTCAAGAGCTCTACAAGGGCCGCCATTATGGAGCACCCTGTATCTCCTTAAAATAAATAAATTGGTCTACCTTGATGTCAGATTTTGAGAATCGGAAGGAAATTTCGAAGTATCAAAAATTAAGCAGGGGTTTGCTCGGGGGATAGAGCGTTTGCCTCCAGCTGAGGTGACCCAGGTTCGAATCCCAGCAGTGGCTAGTTCATAAGAATTCTGCTTTCAGACTCGCACTGACGTATCATGGGTTAGAATCGCCTTGCCGTTAAGTTAACTGTGGGAGGTTTTCTTCTCCACGTAACGCAAATGCAGGTTAGTTCCATCATAAAGTCTTCCACAAAAGCTAATTTGTCCAAATGATTGTTACAGAAATTCCCATACTTTCTGGGTTGGATTCAAAATTACAAGGCTTGAATGCGCAGTTAAATATTGAAAGTCATAAACTCAGAATTGGGTTGGCTATTCAACACCGGCTATAAAATAAAATCGGTATAAAAAATCGCTTTATAGTCGATAAAATAAGGGGATATTTTTTTATTAAACTTAACACTTAGCAAGAAATTTTTTTTAAATAAAAGTTAATTATTTGTTAAGCTCAGTTTCATAATTTGGATAGCTTTATAATAAAATGAAGAAAAAAAAGGATTCATTCTGGTTTTGTTGATTTTCCTATCATTAATGGTTTTAACTTTTTTTTTTCTAACTCCTATTCTTGCAAAGCAATTAGTAAATCAATCACTCCTTACTTCTCTTTTCTCCATTATATACTTTAACTCAGGTTGTATTATCACATCCCTGCATTTGAAAGTTTACACGGGCATATTTTTGAAGAGTTTTTTAGATTTTTTAAAAATTTGAAATATAATTTTTACAAATTCTTAAAATCATTTTCAAAATATTTATAAATATGTTTTCTTGCTTTCATGAGGAAAAAATATAAATTCTGAAAGTGAATTGCTATATTTTTGTATCAAAAAATTTTTTAAACCACATATAAGACTGTTAAACTTACACAAAAAAATTTTTTAATTATAATTTTAAAAAAGTAACTCAATGGTACATGAATGTAGCCTTTTATAAACGTGAATGATAAAAAAAAAATTTCTTGTTCAATCTTCCAATTTAGGAACTGATATGTTTGTGTCATAATTGCATTATTTCTTTAAAATTTACTTTCAAGACTGTACAATGTTCACACTATAAAATACTGTAAGTTATTGAGGAAAAAGCGAAAAAACTTGTTTAACATTGAGTGTATAGAAAATGTTAATGGAACTTTTTTGATCCAAATCAAAAAACTTGAGTCCTAATTGAGGATCAAGTTGGTGAATTTAAAACGGTTTTTGTTATATATTACTATAATTAATTTACTGCAAAAAATTCTGGAATAAGAAAAAGAAATTATACTATAAGCAGGGTATCTGCTACATTTCGGATTTTCAAATTCATGATTAATTCCAAGATTTTTCATGACTTTACAAAGCTTCTATTTTCGCCAACAAAAACACAACAATAAATTTAAAAAAGTATTATAATAACATTAATTGAAATGATTAGTAAAACCAAAACTGTTATACTCTGCATCTTCATATTTATAGATTTTAAATTTAAGAAACAGAGTAATGAAAGAGTTAAAGCAATAAAATAGTTGAAAAAAATACAAATGCAAATATTTTTTTTTCTCTTTTTTTTCAGCAGAATTATATTCTAAAGATACTTTTCTTGTTCATCGGAAACAAAAGAAATGCTCCTGATTTTTCTGCTCTCATTTCAAGATTTAAAAAAAATTCGTCTATGACTGGCTTGCTTCAGCTACAATTTTAAATTGATAAAATAAAAATAGATAAATAAATAAAAAAAATTCTGAACTCACGGAAGTTTAAAAGATAATTCGCTCTAGAAATGACGTTTTTTCTTTCATTTCTTCGAAAGAACACCATAATTTTTAAAGAACATGATAAAAAAAAATTTTATTTTAATAAAATATGACTGTGAGTGAGGATTTTGTTACGAATTCAGATATTTGGAACACCGTGAAATGGGGAGGGGGGGTAAAATTCCATTTTAAAAATTAGGTTTTTCGGTGACCTAAATCCATGATTTTTCATGACTTTCCATGTGCGCGGATACCCTGTATATGAATGAAAGAGTGTATGTTTTTTACATCATTGTTGAAACATAACACAAAAATGATTAAGCAATAATTTTATTCATACGAAAAATAAGCATTTAAAAAAATAAATTTGACAAAATTGAGAAATCATAATTATATACTTTAATTTTAAAATACAATATTGGTACACAGTAAATGTTTTCAATAATATTTAAAAAATTACATCAGAAGTAAAGTATATAAAAAGAAATTTTTAAAAATATAACACACTATAGAGAGAAAGCACAGTTCATGCATTTGACTCAGTTGACCTTAACTAACAATTATAAACGTCAGGAGCAATTTACTTATTCAATTTTACAATATTTTATATAAAATTCTATGTACAAAGTAAACAAGCATCTCAAATAAAATCGTCAATTTTTTTGTTGTTGAAAAAAAAATGCAATTAAATACCTGGAATGAACAAACAGCAGTTTAAAAATTACAAAATGGCACATGGCTGCAAGGAAGGGGAAAAATGATGTAGCACAAATAAAAACATTATAAAAAAAAAATCAACAGCTGATAAATGCCTTTATGTCTCAAATATATATTTAATAAAAGTTAGTAGTGGCAAAGAGGGACAATTTCATATTAATAATGCAAGTTTACTGATATAAGACTGAGTAAATGTTCTTTAAATTTACAGTTTTTATGTAATAGATACCATTACTGCAAAATGTGTAATACTCTTAATCAAAAATAGTGTAAATACTTTTTAACTATATACAAAGTAGGCAAACTGTCTACAATGGGATTTGTAAACTTTTAAGGATCAAATAAATTAAAACTAATATATAATATAATTTTAATTTACATATTTCATACATAATTACAAATTATAACTATATGAATAAAGAATAAAATAAAAATCGCAACAAATGATTTTAACAATGATAATCCAAAAGGAAATAAAAGTTAATTTGGAAAAAGAAATAATACCACTGTCAACCCGGTAGCAGAATTTATGGAGTGAATCCAAATTTGTCAGCAATTTGTCTTACGGCAGACAGTTATTATTATGCAAATTCAGATTAATTTAATATAATGTAAGAAAGTTTGCAAAGTCCTTAATTAAAACTTAATGAGTAAATTTATTTTGAATTTTATACAATGATGCTAAAAAAATGGAATAAATTTTTACGCAGTCAAGGCTATAATCATGTAACGGAAAGAAAAAAATTCTTTACTTTTTGTTCTTTGCTGTATTTTCTAAATTCAGCCTTTTAATTTCTATCAGAAACAAATTTAAAGATGTTTTAAAAAAGAATTTCAATAATTTCCCTCCATTTGTTTAGTTGCTTTTTAAAACTAAATAAAAAATAATGTGCAGCGTCTGCTGCAGTGTTGAAGGGTTTCTACTACCGAGTCTATCACTAGCATAATATTTCTATCGAAGCATAATGAAATAAACTTACATTATAAAATGTTAAATACGACGAACCAAATTACCAATTTAGTCATTAAAAAAATAAATATTGCACAACGTTTTTTTCTTTCCATGGGTTGTTTATAATAGGGAGTCTGGCACATCACATTTGTAAGGACAATATAAATGGATATCACAACCCTGCATTAACAAAATATGAAATTCAATGAGTTACAAATTCTTTTTGTAATTAATTTAGACGGCGCTTTGTTTGAGAAGCGAAATCTGACTTCCAGCCTCTTGTGGCTCTTGGTCTTCTTTTGATGAAGGATTAACAGATGCGGTTTTGGCACAAAGCTCAGTTTCATGCCGTGTTTGTGGGGATACTACAGCTACAGGGACTTTACTAATAGTGCTGCCTGAGAAATAAGAAAAAAATAATAATAATACCTTTCCATGCACAACAAAACATGCAAACATAAAATAAAAATATAATCATGCAGAAAATGAGCTTTTAATATACAAGGCTACAACAAATTAATATCCAAACTTTAAAAATTTATATTTTCAAAATTATTTCACATATTAAAGTAAGTTATACAGGTATTTAAAAAGGATATATATATATATATATACCAAGTTTTTTTTCAGTCACAAGTGTTTGAAGTGTGGCATCGTTATTACATGGATATATCTAATCTGTCAACACATTTTATAATTTCAGACTGCCAATGGCTCCTGAAGTTACAATAATAATGGTCCCAATTGCATTAAGTTCTTGTAGTATTCTGTCACCTATGGATCGTAAACCATGTCTTTGACATAACCACATAAAAAGAAATTACAGGGAAAATAATAACACAAATTGTGATTAAAATATTGTCAGCCAATTACCTCATCACCGGCTATTCTTTTGTCAAAAATGCACTTGATGTGCATTTTAGTATTATTTTTAATAAACATATTATATGAAATATTTTATAATATTATCTAAATCACTTTTGAAACTAAAAATTGCTTGGAATATTATTGATTACAGATTGTCTTGTAAAAAAAATAATAAGTCTCACATCAAACATTTGCAACTAAAAAAGAAATTAATACCTTTCTTTTATTTCCTGTATAACTTATTGTAATACATGTAATAATTTCAAAAATATAAATATTTAAAATCGGATCATTTATTTAAGCTAATCCATCCTGTATTTTTATATTAAAAATTAAGAAAAAAAAGAAATTAAAAAAACAAACACAGATAATGCTAAATCAGAGTATTTAGCAGTGAAGCTAAGCAAAGCAGAGTTGCAAAACTAAGTGAGCAATAGTTTAAAGAGCATAAATAAAAAAACAAAATAAAAATTTTAAAAAAAAACTGTTAGTTTGAGGCATAACTATTACATATTTGAGTCAATGTTTATTGCAAACAAACAATAAAAAATACACTCAAAATAAGCTTTTGTGTTTATTTTAAAATATAACTATCTATTATCCCATTTTGTTTCTCATTTGTTTACCCTGACTTCACCGTTTCTGTAGTACAGTGCATCAGTAGCCGGTTAATCCAAGATTTCTTACCAAGATCTTGTTTACGCAATTTTGTGAAAAACATTTTTCTTAAAAATTAAAGATACAATTTCTGTAAAAGATAAAATTTTTACAAAAAAATTAAAAAAAAAAACTATCTGAACATTAAAATACTGAAAATTAATTTGTATGCTGTTAATTGTTTGAAATTTTACATTACATTCTTCTCCGATGAATCTTCCTGTATCTTTTAAATGTGTTTTCGTCAATTCTCACAAAAAATGACTCTCTTCTTGTTTATGAAAAATGGAAGAATGAATTCAAGAAAGAATTATTCTCAAAATTTAGAATAGGTCTATTTAAATAGTTTAGAATTTTAAGGACTCCTGAAACAGGCTCAATATTTTTCTACAGCTTAGTATCATAAATATCATAGTTTTTTTTTTCAAACATAGGAAACTGTCCTTGGAGAGGACAGAAAATATTTCTAAAAAATATTCTCGTGATTAATTTTGAACTACCATAGACTTCAAACAATGAGCAATAATTATGCACAAACCTAATAGCTTTAAAATTAGATAAATTAACTTAAATAATAAGAAATGCATTATAATGATTAGTAATATCAATTAAAAACTTGAAAAAAAAAACAACATTTAAATGCATTCACGTTTCCACAATAGTTGCGTAGATGAATAGTCAGTCACATGTTGATTTTTTGGAATTACTAACACTAATGTTGCACGAGTTCCATTGAAATATCAGAGTGTGCAGCTAAAATATATACACATGACAACTTTCCTTAAAAGCTTATGTTTTGTTAGAGAATGATGAATGAGTTCAGAAAAATGGAGCAAATTTATTTATTAAGTTATTTTTTAAGTTTAAGCAGAACACATCACACTTTTTTTTCAGAGAAATTATTTGTAAGTTGGGTGAACTTGAAGACCAGTGTGGGATGAAGATCCCTCTTCGTTTCTTAAATTCAAAGCTTTCGCTCGAAAATTTAAATCCTTAACAACTTGACTATGCTGTCTCCAAACTTCAGGATTCACTACTCAAAAAAGAATCAAAATTAATTGCTACTCACTATATATATATATATATGGATTAAATGTATACTATATTAAACTTGCTATACTATTGTTATAAAGCCAAAAAACATACATTAAAGTGCCAAAACAACTGTTTTGAAACTTTAAACAATCATTATATTTAATGACAAAACAGATTTTCATCAGTTGTTAGGCATTAATGCTACTGTTTTCAGGGCGAGCCCAATGGTTTCTAAAAAAAAAGGTTTGTTCAACAAATATATTATTTATGTACAAGTGACACTCAATAATAGGTCTTCAGTAATCCAAAGGAAACAGACGTTATAACTTCAGGTCCTTGTATCATGAGTACACAATAATATGCAGATTTAATTCTAATTTTAAAAAAATAATAGACTAACTTGAACAAAACGATGCTATATTTTAATAAGAAATCTGAAACAAGCAGGATAACACAACTTGTTTTACAAGTCAATATATGTTGAAGTACTATATAAAATAGTACATTAAAGGTAAAAAAAAAACATTTATTTGGTTCTAGGTAGCCATTTTCAAAAAATAACACATTGAGATCGATGCAAACCCACCTATTTTAATCCAAAAATAAACAATGCAAAAAGACAAAAAAATTAAAGCAACAAAGCTACAAATTATCAACTAATTGTACTGTTTGAAAAAAAATTGACAAAATTTTTTTTTAAATATATTTTTTGAAAAATCATACATATGAGTTTTTTACCCTTTTTGCTCTGGCTACCTTAGGCCTGGGTTCTCCTAAAAGAAGATCTAATCTTAATGTTTCTCAATAACTACCTGAATAAAACTTTTCTGAGTATGAATAATTTTTTTTTACTTTATGTACAAAAGAAGAAACTAATAAGATAGCTTGCACATTATAAACATATAAAAAACATTAAAAAAAGTATAAAACAGCCATGAGTATAGTACATAATTATTGATACCTTCCCCAAAAATAGCATAGTATGGTTAAACAAAAATACTTAAATGACTGAAAGCAATGATGATAGAAACATTTTAAAAAGGCGTAACAAGTTATTAATATATTTTAATTTATTAATATATTTTACTTACCAGTATTTAATGCTAATTTTTCACAAATTTATTTTAATTCACTTTTGTTATGTTCACCTCTGAGCTCGAATCAAAAATAATCAATTCGCAAAATTCAAAATGATCAAATATTAGAATGCAAAATTTTTAATATTCACCATAGGCATAAGAAACATATTTTGATTCTATAAAAATGAATTCCAAAACATACTTTTTAATAAGTCATTAAACACAAGTTATTTGTTAAAATACATAGATATGTCTTATATACATAGGTATATAATCAGGTATATCTCATAATGTATAGTATTTTGTGGAAAATGCTGTAGTTTACTTTTAGTTAATTCAGAGAAAATTTTTTGTCTTTACTGTGTTTCACTATTTTATAAGAAATTAATTAGTGACATTTTTCTAGCTTTTTCTGTATTAAACATTGACTAATACTAAGGACACTTCACTATGTTGTCACATCAACATATTATCTATTTTCTATGGTATATTATATCAGTGTAGACTATTTGCAATTAAAGGTAACCAACCTAACTTTTCTTACAAATATTCAATCACTCACCAGTAATAGTACCATACCGCACACATTTAAATTTTAATCCAATTCATTCCGACATTGGTAAACAAGTCTGAGGTAATGTCTACAGTTGATTTTTCAGTTCATTGCCTCCAATTCTAGTGAATCATTGGATAGTGGTGTAATATAAACGTGATGTTTTACAAAGCACCAAAACGTGTTTTTGCAATATGTGGGATCATAAGTAAACTGTGAACAAAATACACTTTGAAAAGAGATTACAGATTTGAAATTAATAGACTGCAGAGTGCAAAAAGGCCTTACTGCAAGAAATTGCAATTTTATGTATGTGGTTACATACAAGCTTGAATGTAAAAAAGCAGTGCTCGCACACACGCTTATCTAAAATTGTTTGAGTTACTCTTTAATCGTAATATTGAACTAATACTGTAAAAAGTTTAGAGCTGATACAATTAAAATTAGTAATTGGGCACTCTTTAATGTATACTACCTTCTCATATCTGAGAGAGAACATTTATTAACTTCAAAAGGAATTGTTTAGCTAATGCCGTGAATTTTAATAAATCAACTTTCCTAGCACTTAAAGTAAAAATACTTCAAGTGCTAAGAAAAAAAGTTCTTTTAACTTTTGTTTATTTTCTTTAAAATTCACCATTTTATAAGAAATAAGAAGAAAAGAAACATCTTAAACATTTTTAGAACTAAAATAACCAAACTACATTACAATGAATTTGATAAAATAATAAATATCAAGAATTTCAAACATTTAATTAAATAAAAAGTTAATTAAAAAAATAAAATGATACACTCTTTGTCCAAGTACTTTGATTACTACAGTAGAGGGACAGTGTATAATATTAAATATGAAAAGAATGTTTTTTTTATTTTATCGATTTGACAAACAAGTTATGTTGATTTTCGCATGCTCTAGCAGTAAATGGAAATTCTTGTCAGTGGAGTTAAAATAACGTTTTAAATTATGATTCTCATAATTAAAATACATAAAACAGTTTACTAAATTACTGTTACCTCACTTTGAAATTATCGAGCATCAAAATGTTTAGCATAAAATTATCAATTCAATTTTAGTTGCATTCTTGTATACACTGCTTTACTTACTGAATCATCTCTACACAGATGATTTTGGCTTACAATATTCATGTTTGAGATACACTTGCCAAAATGATTCATGATTGAATGATCACAATGAAATGATTCATATAACATAATGTTTACGTTACAAAACATGATGCAATGATCAAATCTTTCATCTTTGCTCTTAAAGTTTCATTTTGGGACTACGGTGCTTAAAAAGACATTGTCACTTTTTTAATGTTCAATGATAGATAAATGATTGAAATAGAATGGTTGATTCAGAAATTTATGGATGAAGTTATACAAATAATCTTGTGAAGTGTGACAGCTTGCATGCTTTTGATAATTACTTTTAAAAAAGAAAGAAAAGAGGAATTGAAATTACAGGATTACAATTATTCAGAAATAAAATTACCTGACTTTTCCAGAATAATTTTACCAAATTTGCTTAATTTTTGTTATGGGTGACTTAAATATTTTACTTAACTTTTCAAATATGATTTGTTCCTATAAATAAAATTCTTTACAAAACACATATATTTGCTATTAGATTCGAAAATCAACTTTTTTTTTACAAAACAATTACTACAAGACAATTTTTTTTTAATAAGACATTGATAATCATCATCAGCCTCAAACCTCAACTCAAATTAACTCATTTAGGTACCTTTAATTCAAATAAATTAATTTTTATGGGGTAAATTAACTTTTATGGGGTTTCAACAAATAACCCAAAATTTCCTATCAAAGAATGAAATTGATTTAAGCAAATTTTAAGAAGAAAAAAATATAAAAAAAACCTTAAAATAATGCGCCAAAATGGGAAAGCGCTAAAAGCAGCTAAAATCAAATTTGTTTTATGTGTAAACAATTAAAAATTAAAAGTTAGAAACCAAAAACAAACAAAAACGAAATTCTAAAGATATGTATGTAAGCAGAAACAGCACATCAGGGGGCACATTGTTGTCTGCTAACAGACAGCAAACAGTGTTTCCTCTGGTGAAGTGCTGTTTTTGCTACCATACATGTCTTTAGAATTTCGTTTTTGCTTGTTTTTGGTGTCTAACTTTTTATTTAAATTGTCTAAAATTTCCCTGTTAACCATATTCTGCAGCTGCCTCTTCAAATTTATAGCAGTAGTACATTTATAATGGCAATTTGGAGTACAGCTGGGATAAATTGCAGTAGAACAAAAACAAGTTCATAGCAATTTTCTGCAACCTTTTAGAATGGAATTAGACAAGTCTAGGAAACTGATTATTATTAAGATGCGTGCATGACCACTCATAAGTTACAGGTTTAATGTAAATGTTACAAATTAAGAAGAATATAAAAATGCACTAACACACGATTAGCGCTACCCAAAAGCCTTACACATGTTCACAACTATTAACAAAACATTAATAAAAACCACCAGGTGTTTTTTTTTCCTTCCTTTTTTTTACATAATTTATACTGATTTTCCTAAAACAAATATAATGAGGGTGGATTAAACGAAAAACACCTAAAACAAAAGAACCACCCAAGAAATAAACATGAGATATCATATTTTTAATTCACCATCATATTAAACATCAATGTGCCACAAATAATTATTGAAATATAACTGTTATAAAAAATATAACAACTATGGAAAAAACTACAAAAAAAATAATAAAAAGTGTATATTTTAATTGGATTGAAATGCTAATAAAAAAATAACTAAATAAGTGCAATGTGAGAAAATTATTAATAATCAGATATTTCAAAACAGAGGGTTTGCTTTTTTGGTATATATATTAAAGAGGAATATCTAATTAAGAAAAAAATTAACAACTATTGGGAATAAGTGATGAGGAGGACAATTTATACGTTGGAAAACTACTCACCAACTGTAATCCAAGCTGAGGCACAATGCAAATGTTAAGGAGTTAGAAAAATAAAAGCATATTTCTTTTTAAGAAAAAAAAATATTCATACCAGTGATTTTTTTTTTAACTTTCAGAAATTTAACAAAAGCGTAATACTTTTATCTTTCTTTCTTAAAATGAACTTAGATATTATATGATAAGAACACTTAATAAATACAAGTATAGGCAAATATTTGGGGGAAACACTAACTGCTACTCTACAAATTATAAGGAGGATAAAATACTGTTGACTTTTGTTTATATATGGCACCATTTTTAAGAATACAAAACCAAAATATAAAAGTTTACAAAAATCAGAATATTAAGCATTAATTTTTATTAAATATTAATTCAATAGTATTTAAATATAGTATTTTAATATGTTCTTTAATATTAAATTTCAATGACAGAGAATGCATTTTTCTGAACAATCTAATAAATTAGAATTCACTTTAAAAATGAGGAAGAAAAATACAAAATAAATACCTTTTTAACAACATATAATCATAAATTTTCATAATTATAATTGAAAATTTATTACCATGGCATCCAACACTTTGATAAAAACTTTCTACAGATTTATAAAATTAAATATATATATATATAAATATATTTTTACTTATTTCAGAAAATATATTTGTAACAGTTATGAATGAAGAATGTTTGTTACCATGAGGTCCAGCATTTTGATAGGAACTTTCTCGCAACATTCCACGATAGCTGCCATTTGTAGAATGCACTGAGCCTTTAGGGCCATACGTACCTCCCGGGACGTTTGGAGGAGGTTTTTGCTCATTAGCAACCACCGGTGTAGGTACAGTGGACACAACACCCTAAAAAGTTTTGATTAAAAATTGCACTTTTAAAAACAAACATTAGTTTTATCAGTCTCAACATTATAAATAGCTATAAAATAGGCCGATTTTGACAATTTCAGTGAGACTACAGTTTACAAAAATGTATGTTTGTATAAAAGCCAAATATTATTTAAAAAATCTAAATATTTAATAAATAAAAATCACCATTAAAATAGTTAATGGTATATCTTACAAGGAAATTTTAATGGTGACATTACATAACGCCTGCACAAAAGATATTGTACAAAACTGATTTTCAGAAACTTTCTATGCATAAGCCTTTCTATAACCCAGCTAAAACCTAACAATCGCCTAATTCAGATATATAAAGTAAATACAGATATGCTACTTTTCTACTTAATTGCAGAAACTCAAGTCTAAAATTCCAAAAAGTGGAAATGGTCAACTGAGGGATTATCTACAAATTGTACACAAGTATATGATATAATAAAGTACCTTATCTATTCTACCTGATATGTTGTATCTTTATTATGTCTCTAAAGTAATAATGTATATCAATAAAAAAACTGAAAACTTTTTATCTAAATTTTATTTATGTGAATGCGGGATCATATATTTATTTACTATTTTTCGAAGATGAAATCAAACCTTCATTAATGAATAGAATATGTTTCAAAAACTGAAATTGTTATTTTATTTAAAATAATTTTAATCCAATTAACAATTCAACACAACAACAGTTCTAACAACTTTAATCCAGTTAAAAGTTACACACAGAAATTTTTAAAGTGGTAAACTAAAAAGGTATTTCAAAAATTTATATTTACAGTAAAAAAAAAAACTGTTTAGTTACATTTAAAACTAGTGAAACACTTAGATTTAAAGTAAGAAACCAAATTTGAATTTTCAAAAGACTTAAATCTTCAGAATGGCTCTTAGTAAGAATTTATTCTAATTGAGGTTTTAATAAGTAATTCCATTTTGAAACAACTAAACAGAAGAATCTTATAATTAGAACTGAATTAACACAAAATGTTTGTATTTTAAAAAAAACTTTTAATTTTAATATTTTATTCAAAATAATTCCCTTAAATTATAATTTTTATTTTAGTTTAATTTGCAATCACAATAATTTCATTATTTAGTTTAATTCTTATTTTTGGAAATCTGTTTCTGAAGTTTTGTTTCCATTCCAAGTGCAGCTTTTTATCTAAAACTGCTGTGGCATGCCTGTAATTAATGTTATAAACTCTTACGAACCTGGCGTCCCAATATTTCCTAATTTTATTTTTGCATTAATTCTAACAAATAAGGTTTTTAAGCAAGTGTAAGTGTCTGTTTATAGATGATAATGGTGATAGTAGAAAAAGTGACAAAATTTACAGGAAGAAAGGATTGAATAAAAGTACAAAAACAAGGTTTTTCTTATAGGGTTTGATTGATAACTGAGAGAATAACTATCCTTTTTTGTAATTTTTTTTAATGTGCCTTTAAATAGCTAATTTTTTTAGAACCTCAATAAAGCCATTACAGATAAGTATTGCATAGCCTCCAACAGCCACAGAATTTTCATAGTTTGAGAAAATATATTTTATAGTAGTAGAATTAAAAGAAGTTTTTCCACCACTACATTTAAATAAATTTGAAGAGTCAGATAGATATGGCCTTGACTTGTAAAAGGAATTTTACCTGAATTCTACTTGTTTAAAACTTTCTGCTTCAGTTTACTATAACTGGGCGAAAAACTTCAACCCATAAACTTCAAATGTCAGAGTATTGTAACAATCACTTTTCACACCAGTGCCGGATTAAGTGTACGTGGAGCCCTAGGCCATTCAAACTTTGGGGGCTCTTAGATTAAATTTTTTTTACGTATATTTTTTATTTATTCAAATATAAAAGTATTTATACATCCTTTCATTTAAGAAAGCATATTTAAAATAAAAATAAATAATAATAAATTAAATTTCACTTTATTTTGTTAAATTAGAACTAAAAAATAATCATAACATATATATTTGAAATTGATTTTTTTTAAATTATCGTCTTTATTTAATTTTTTTAAAATTTATTTTCAAAAAATCCCTTTTAAGGGACCCCCAATCATTGGGGGCCCCCAGGTCCACTGTTTGACACATAACTTTCCTCAAAGTTTGGTATTGAATGCAGAACCATTTACAGGTTAACTATTTTAAACTTTATATAAAAATTTTCAACAATTGGAAAAATATGGTTTTAAAATTGATAATAAAATTGAGGCATTTTGAAGATTCTGAGTTCTAATCTGAAAGTTTAAGTTCATAAAAATATAAAATAGTCTATAAAAATAAAAAAAATGTGAAAGTCTATAAAAATATTGAAACAAATAAACATATTAAAAAATAATTTTCAACTAATTAAACTAAAAATTTTGTTTAAAATACAATGACTCATTACTTTTTAACACAAAAAAAAGTTTATAAAAAATGAATTTAATAAAATAATAAACAAAACATTTAATTTGTTTATACATATTTTATCCTTGTTAAAACTGAAGTTATTTTTAGATCAATAAAATGGGAAATAAACCTTTTAATATTATATAATAATTAGATTTTTTACTAGATGTTTTGACAACACAAGATTATTTCAAATTGAAGATATCGGAATTGAAATTGAACCTATGGAACTATTTAGTTGTTGGTATTTCCTTAGAGGACGTCTTTTAATAATTCCACATTTTCATTCAAATCAGTTTTCATCTCGATCAATTTCTTTTTGTCAATCTTTTGTATTTTTTTATTCATTAATGTATTCTATATACATAAATATATATATTTTATTCTTTAACATTTTCAATTAGTTATGAAACAAAGTTTTAAATGTTAAATTTCAATTAAAATTTTATTATTAGTGTAAAATAGACATTATTTAACAAAACAAAATGTTTGGCAGATTTTTGATAATTTTTTAATAACTTGGTATATAACTGCTTAAAAGTCTATTTCATTATTTAAACAAGAATTTGTAAACAAGATTTAATTCACATTTTGTAAAGCTAAAAATCGTATACAACAAAAATATTAAAGTATTTTCTTATTAACTCATAAAAGCAAATAATCCTTATATTAAAAATTACTGAATATTGCAATAATACTTTAGCTTGAGCTCCTTTTACTGTTCCATAATGATATCGCTGATTCAATTGACCATCTTCTGTACATATCCCTCTTGTATCAATTAAACTGTAAAATAAAAGTTTAGCAATTAGTTTTAAATGCAATGAAAGTTTAAGGGGTCAATAAAATATTATGGAAGCATTCATTCAAAAATAAATCAGATATAAGAGTTTAAATCTTGCCAATTTTTCAAAGAAAGTGGTGGTAATTTCAAATTGACAGGAGCTATCGTGCTTATATTATCTACAGAGCATTTCAGAGACAATACAATCTTGCTGACAACTTTCTCAATCCACACGATCAATGGTTTACTTCAATGGTTTTCAACCCTTTTCTTACAACCCCTTTCTAAAACACAAAAGAAAACGGCAAACCCTACTAACCATTAGCTCAAAGCATCTTATTAAAAAGAATTTATAACATGATAAATTTATTACAAAATTAATTTTTTAAAAAAATTAACTAAATCTCTGACAAGCATAGGTTGAATTTGAAAAGAAAAAAAAAAAAATAAAAAAAAAAAAAAAAAAAAAAAAAGAGAGGAAAATTAAAAAATAAACTTTGGAAACAACTTTTTGGTAACTATCACAGCATATCTGAAAACTTTCCTTTTTCGGTAAAATTAAGGAGTTTTCTAAAGATAAATCGCCATGAAAAGGATTACTTATCCCAGTTGTTTCCTAGAGATTTTGTTAGCATATAAAAAGTCTTGGAATGCTAGCTGATTTTTCTGATAAAAAGATGCTGAGAGAATCAAAACATTCAAACTCAAATATGAACATGACATTAGAAAGAAAGATTAAAATTTTTTAGCATGGCTTCAAATTTATAATGCACACAGAAAAAGGGTGATACTTGTGTCTTGATAAATTGAATTTATTTAATTTACATAAGATATCAACTAAGTATGCAAGCTTTTGCATCCAAATAATATCAGATATACAAGAAAACAAACAAAATGCATGATAAAAAAAGTAAATTAATATGCTAGATTTAGTAACATAGCAGTACAGGAAATATTTGTAAGCAAATTTATTATTCATTAAAATTTTCCTGTTGGCCATTTTAAATTTAGTCATTATTTATTATGAACCTCTCTTATACATCTTATGAAGAGTTAACCAAATTACAGTAGAAAAAATGGTTTATTTTATTGATACAATTATTTTCACTGAAAGTTCAAAAATTCATATAACTGACTTAATTATTTTATTATTATAATAATTTTTCCAACAGGAACTCTTTAATGATACAATCATTGCCGTGTTAATGAAATTCTGTTTTGATATAAAGGAAGAATACTGATGTATAAAAGTAGGTACAATTTAGTACTTGTTATTAAGGTAATTAACGTTAAATTTTACAAAAAGAATTTATTCTGTATTAACTCATTTCATTAAGTATTTTTAAAAATCAAATAACTAAACCTCTTTGGCACAAAATTACATGCTGTATTCATGCATGTATATTGCCATATTATCAACTATAACAAATTTTTAACCTAAGATTTGATGACTAACTACACTAAGATTTGAATGAAAATTTCTAAACTGGAATTTGAATTTTTAACCTAAGATTTTTAACCTAAAATGACCACAGTTCTCTGGCACAAAATTACATATTGTAGCTTCCACAACATTTCTACATGACCTTGATGCAAAGTATAGTACTTTTTCCAAAACCAAAGATCTACAATTCTTTGGCACAAAATTATATGCTGTAGCTATGACAACATTGCCACGTTACCTTAATACCAAATATAGCATTTTTTTAAAATCAAAGTACTGTAGCTTTTTTTTTGGCACAAAATAACAAGTCTGTTACTTTTGCAACATTGCAATGACACTTGATACCAAATGCAAAGCTTATTTAATGAAAGAATAAAAAATATATAAACAATTTAAAAAAAGAGAAATATTAAAATGCAATTTACTAATATGGAATCAATAGTATGAAAACAAACCTTGGATAGTTAGGCCCACATATAACTGAACAACAATTTACTATTAAAGATCCAGTAGTATATGGATTTGTGACTTCTTGACCTCGTTTTGTTGAGAATGAACCTTTTATCTAAAGAAACAAGCAATGACAATTAACATGATAAAAACAATGAAATGGGCATCTATTATTATGAGTTTTAGGACTTACATCTTCATTTGTGGTCTGGTTAGATGTGGCAAGGTAAGTGTGAAAACCAGCTAGTCCTAAAATTGACCAAACTGAGAAAAAGCAGATTATTCCCTCTACAACAGTGAAAGAAGTTAAAGAAAGTTTTAAAATAAATTGTTTTCCTTTCAAATGAAACATAAATATAGATTTAAAGTACTTAAAACATCAAAATACAAATAATGAATTAAATCAAAGTAAATTTCCAATATTTTAGTCACATCACTGCCAGTAAAAAAAAAAGTATGTTTATGAAATAAAAAGAATCCTTAAGATGATTAGAAACATATGGTCTAATCACTACTATCAGTCTGGGAACTGAGTTAAAATTTATTTATTTAATGTTAAACACACAAATCAAAAAATTTTGTTCTCACTTATAAAAATTATTTAGTTTCTTGGAAATGAAAAAAAATTCAAAGTTAAATAAATTTTTAAACACTATAATTTTAAAATCTAACATTCGAACAAAGCCAACTCATTAGTTCCTGAGAAATATAAAAGACTAAAATAACTTGTAATTTAAAGAAAAAAGAATTTCTTTCTTCGAAAATTAATCTAGTAATTTCTTTTTCAACTTCGAATTTTGTTGACACGTTATATTTCAAAACATGTAAGTATTTTTAAAGCTTAAAATTCAAACATTTTATTATCATTAATAAATTAAATAATAAAATATAAATACTAAATTTTAGTATATGCACAGAACACTGTTTGATAAACTTTCTAAATAAATAAAATAATTGTTTGTTTCTTAGGTTTAAATATATCATAACAGGAAGAATTAAAATAACACGAAAAGAGTCCAACTTTAAACTAGTCTTCTCAATATGTTCATATTGATAGCATATTTTCCAAATTTTAGTAACTCCCTATAGTTTGCAGATTAAAATTAAATTCACCAGAAAAATAAATGTCAATTCAGAAACATATATATTTTTGTGAAAAATAAGTTTAATGGGCAAAAGTAATTAGTTACATTAAACCTGCAACTTAGTGTTAAAAGATCAGATCAAAATGAAATTCAAAGTTATTAAAGGTTATAGTTTTTCATTTTGCTTCATTAAATACAATGTTAAATTCTGTAAAAATTTTAACAAAATTAAGCTTCCCCCCCCCAAAAAAAAAATATGTCACGGTATTATTTCCCTTCAACCCTTTATAATTTACTGTTTATTGCAGGGTTGGGGTTTTGGATGTCCTAAACTGGTTTTGGACAGGACACGTGGGTTTTACTGTCTCAAACTGTCCTTAACTGGATAAAACTGTCTTAAAGTATCCAAAACCTTGAACTTTGATAAAAGGTAAATATTCTATAGGTGTAATCATTGTACACATAATAATTACATGTATAAATAAATATTTGATATTTTTTATACAATTTACTTTAACTTATTAAAGGAAAATAATATAATATAATGGTAAAAAATTTATAATTTTTGAAGCTCCACAATTCATTGGACAACAAAAGTGAATACCTAATCCTTTAAATATAAATATGCTTTTAATACTGATAAATAATGTTTTTGCATGAAGATAAATAATGCAATATTAAAAAATAAAAATTTTAATTTAAAAAATACTTAATTTGTTTAAAAATTAACCTCTTATTTTTCACAATATTTTTTTTTTAAAAAATGTATGATTTCTGCATCACAGGATGATAAAAATTTTTTTTTAAATATAAATATATTAGTTGAAGTTGGAAATACAAAATAACTGAAAAATGTATTAAGAATGTATTGTAGATTATTTAAATAAGTGATGCCAGACAGGGTAAACAGTGTCAGAAAGAATTAACCTCAACTGTAATAACATAAAACAATTCAATGAAATAGAAAATGAATTATTGGAAAAAAGATTCGATAAAATAAGAAAGTAAAAAAAAACTTCATAATTTTGGTTAATTTAATTTAATTTCTGATAAGAGCCATATCTCTTATTTAGAAATAACACTATTTTTAAAAAAATAGAATGTATATTGTAATCAAAAAACACCATTCTGTAAATTTAAAAAATAAGCTTTCAACAGTTATAAATACTGATTATTTAATTCAAAGCATGATAAATGAATTAAGTAAAAATGAAATTTTTTCGTAAATCTGTACTAAATATTATTTGTCAAGGATATCTGGCCGGTGATTCACGAACTGCATCAATGAATGTTCCATTTCTTGACACTAAAATAAAATAATAAAAGATTAATATATCTACCAATAAAAATATGCTATAAATTGGATTTATTAAACACAAAAGTCGTTAGCAAATGGTATTAAAATATAAAATATATTTAAAAAAGTTGCATGTCTAAAACTACCAATAAAAACGTGTTAATTGCATGCACATGAAATTTTAAACTGTACAAGTATTATAAGAGATCTTTGTGAATTGTGAATAAAAAAAAATTTATTTAATTTTTTTTCTCCAAAACATGTTGTCCATTGGGTTAAGTTAAGCCTATTCCAGACCATTTTTCAAAAGGTAACTTTTCCAATAATAATCCTTCTTTTACTTTAGAATAATGTAAAACTCTGATGAAGTCATCCACTTAAGATAAAGATTACTTGGATTAAGAATCACAGGGCAAAAATAGAATTATTGTCTTAAGATATTCAGTTGTTACAAATAGCACATAATATATATTAAAATTAATAACAAAAACATCAATTTACACCACTTACGTAAAACAAGATGAGTTATAACACATGCGAAGATGAACACACACAATAAAGCTAAGGACAAAATGAATAAATAGAAGAAGCGATAATTTCTTTTTCCTACACAATTTCCTACCCATGGGCAATGATGATCAAAACGCTCTGAAAATTAAAAAAAAGAGTAAGTTATTTCAAGAAAGTATATCATCCACATACACATACAATAAAAATTCTATAGCATAGTAAACAATTTGAAAAATATGTATATCTTACAATAGCACCCCTATTATGTTGGTGCCTCACTGATTCCCATTAAACTTTGGATATAAAGAACCCAGGACTTTTGGGATGTTTTTTATTTAAGAGCGAGTCTCTATACCCTATTAATGCAAATCAGTTTAAACATTCTATATTTCCAAAAACTAAAAAATGTTATAAGAAACAACAGATTAACCTAACATAAATTTGTTATTAACTCTAGCTATCTATTAATATGCACATTTAAAAGGATTCTATCTTCTTATCAACAAAACAAAGAATTTCAAAGCAAGAGAAGAGTTATATTTGAAATCTGCATTTTTTGTTTTTATTTTATTTTATAACCATCACTGAATGACCGACCTAATTTTTAGTTTACAACTACCATTGNAAACGATAAAGTAATACACTAATGATTATTTCCAAAATGATGGTAAGGTAAACATCTTTCAAAAAAGAAAGAAAAATCCTAAAATCTTATGAGGAAAAAAAATTTTTTTTTTTTAAAATGGCAGGGAAATTTATTGAATTTCGTTCCGGTTTTTTGGTTTTCCGGTTTTCTGAATTCCGGAAAACAGGTTCTGTACTGTACTATAAAAAAATTATAGCATTTTAAGTAATTTGAAAAATGTGTACATCTTACAATAGCACCCATATTATGTTGGGGCCTCAGTGATTCCGCTAAACTTTGAATATAAAGAGCCCAGGACTTCTAAATTCTTGGGATCTTTTTTATTTAAGAGCGAGTCTCTATACCCTATTAATGTAAAACAATTTAAACATTCTAAATTTTCAAAAACTAAAAAATGCCATATGAAACCAAAGATTAACGTAATATAAATTTGTTATCAACTCTACCGCTTTATCCATCAATTAATATGCACATTTAAGAGGTTTCTATCTTCTTATAAACAAAACAAAGAATTTCAAAGCAAAAGAAGTGTTGTATTTGAAATCTAGATTTTTTTTTAAATATTATTTTATAACTATCGTTGAATGGCTGATCCAATTTCTAGTTTACAACTACCAATGTTTAACATTGTAGCCCTGTAATTTCGAACACACGAAATCCAGAAGACAAGGAAACTCCTAGATCAAGTATTGAGAAGTTCGCCTTCATCGAGGACTTTTTGATGGAACTAACCTTCATTTGCATTACATGGAAAGGAAAACATAGAAAACTCCCACGGTTTGCACTGACAGCAAGGGGACTCTAACCCAGGTTTCATCTACTACTGAGGTTATTTTATTCGAAACCAGTTTACCTCATTGGTAGGTAAGAGCTCCATCCTCTGAGCCACCACGGCTCTAGATTTTTAATTTCCAACACTTGCCTCAAAGAAAACCACTATGTAATTGGAGTGGCATTATTATTTTCATTTTCTTAAAATAATTACTGCACATGTCAAAACTATATTTTTACCTTCCCACAAACCTTTTTGGCGCATTAGATGCGAGATAGAATGTAAACAAAATTGCTAATTCTATTATAACACCCATTAGTATATAAGGTGGACTCTCAATTAACCAGGATTGGATTATCAAAATTGAAGATAATGGGAAAGCAAAAACAAAAAAAACTTTTATTGATTTAAAAAAAAATCATTTTTGTGGTACTAAAGCAATTAGAATAAGTCAATCCTTATCAAAAGCCTGTTCTGCTGGAAAAATTTGTTATTAAATTAGTTTAAAGCAAATGAAAAATTTTAAACTGAATTTTATCATATAATTCTCCACAAAAAAAAAATACATTTGTAAACTTCTCTTTTGTACTAAAAGAATTGCAAATCGAAATATAACACAAAAATTTCTATTAATTATTTCCCTTTTGTATTACTTAAATTTTAAATAATATATAATACTGTTATACATTACACATACGTCTTTTTAAATTTTCATCAACTTTGCATAAACTCCATCAACATAGATAGTCACTTATCTTAAGCAGAGCATTTTCTGACCAAGTTAGAGAATCTACTACCTACTGTATCATCCTTTTCTTGTCCTCACCCCCCAAAAAATTAATACAATTTCTTAAAATTTTACATTTCAAAGAATTTCAGAAAAATAAGATCTGACTTAATTAAAAAATTATTGTTACTCTAAAGACTGCATTTGAAGAAAGTAACAATAAAAAGAAGTGTAATTGTTTCTTGTAATTTTTTTCTTCATAAAGATAACCTAATACATTTATACATTATAGTTATTATACAGTGATCTTTGTTACATAGGGCATTTGAATATATTGCAGTTTTCTTCCTAACCCCTGGCAAGCACAACATAACACGCGGCTACCACTTCACAAATAAAGTATATAAAAAGTTTTAAAAAAATCATAGTAATTTTAAAAATTTCAGTTTCTCTCAAGTAAAAGCATCTTCAATGAAAATAAAAAATAAAGATATCAAGGTAATATAACAATTCTTAAGTAACCAATCATAAAAAATACATTCTATTCCATCAGTATCACTACTTCTATATCTATGAAATATTTTCATATAAAGATTAAACCAATACAATTAACTTCACCAGCTGTTTTAAATTAGATATCATTCATAACGAAAAAATAAATAAGCAATAAAAGATAATCCGGAAAATTATTTTTGAAAAAATTACTACATTAACCATTCGATTATAGATTAAATTTTAAAAAAACAAACTTAAATTTTTTAAATTCAATAAAGAACATTATCTTTGATACAATGGAATAAAGTTTTAAAAAAATTGAGAAAAAAATCAATGTTTTCTCATCATATTATTCTTATCAATGTTTTCTCATCATATTATTCATCTACAAGCTCAAAATATTTTTTTACAATAGGATTAACTCTATGAGCTGTTTTAAATCAAACAATGTTATCCATATTAAAATGGGGGGAAAATATATATATAAATTATAACTTGCCATACCTCAAATAAAACTGTAAAAATTATTTCTGATTAGTAAATTAAGAGCAACTCAACATGCTGTTTGAATTAAAAAAATATTTTCCTGGACGAAATAGAAAAATGACACAAAAAAGTTAAGTGAATATTCTCATTACATCGATTATTTCTTTTATAAAAAGATTTCTACAATATTCTTTCATAAATGTTTTAAACTAAGCAGTTCACAATTAAAAAAAGAAAAAAATATTTTAAATATTTTTCAAATACTGATTCAATTGAAATTATAAAGAGCAGCAATCAAATCATTGATCTTAATCATTTTCATTAAAATTTAGTCACCGTGATTTAAATCTTGATTTTAACCACTTGGGTTTTACTTTTTCTTTAGAAAAAAAAAACTTAAATAACTTTAATTTATATAATTAAAGCAAAAATACAGGGATTAAAGTATGATTTAAAAATAAATATGTGTTGTGAAAACAAAAATGAAACTTTTAAGGAATAAAATAATTACGTATAAGTTTTAAACAATTTTAAACTGTGTCTTCACATATACTAACAAACAAAACTTCTCTTTTTAAGGAAAAGCAAAAATAGATCATTAAAATATGCAGGTGACAGATCCCTTTCATTGTGTACAGATTCTTTTTATCCTGATATCCTTTTTTACTGTCAGAACGCATTCATATAAAACAGTTTTCTTCCACTCGTCAGTATACATGAAATTATTATATTTTGAAATTTAAAAGTTAATTTAAGTAACTACATTGTTTAACATGATATTATTAAATACTATTATTCCTTATAATTGAGTTATATAAAATTTAATTCAATGATATACATGGTGAATCAATTTTCTACTTTCTGTCTAAAGTTAGTTAATTTTTATTTCCTAAATATTAATTTTGAATCTAAACTTAATAATGATAAAACTTTACTTTATGCAAATATAATTAATGATTATTAGTGGTATTAGTTATGTTCTACCATATATAATAACTTCAAAAAACTTAAGTGCTTAATAACCATTTAAATATTTAATTTAAATATACAAATTAAAAAATCCAATTTAATAAAAAAAAAAAGATTGCATCAAAAATATTATGTCACAAAGTTAAAATATATAAACCAACAGTATAAAAATTGCAAAATTTTGTACAGAAACTAATTTTAAATAAATAAATAACACAGTAATTCAAACAAATTGAAGAATAAAATTAAAAAAAATGAAGAAAAGAACACATATAAAAACATTAAATTAAATAAAAATGTAATAGCATGCATCAAAAAATGTAATTTAAAAAATATATTAACTCTCTTACCCACACAATTATCACATATACTACAATGTGAAGCTCTTGGTGGGCGAAATATTTTGCACGTAAAGCAATATTTTAACTTCACTGTTTGCCCCTGTATCAGAATCTCTTTCGTTCTGGGAGGAGGCCTATAAGTAGGGGAATTTGATCCATTTGGGACTTCTAAAAATAAGACAAAAATTCAAAATTAATAACAAAAATGTATGGTAAAATTATGAAATTTTGTTACTGGCTAGTTGTAGTATCTTTAACTGTACCTCATTTTTAAAACATGTGACCATTTTTTTGAAAAACTGAAAATTTTAATTCAAGAAGAAACTATTATTACTAATAATGTAAAGCATTTCTTTTAATGGATTTGTCAAAATACAGTAATTATCACAAAGTATGTAGTAAAGAAATTTTTGTATAGTATAAAAATGCATAATATTTTCAGATTCATTAAAAATAAAAAATATTTGTCAAAAAACTGTCGACTGGCTAACAAATTTTAAATTGCCATTTGTTATATTTAGTCACCCCATGGTTGGTGGGGATTGTTAATTTTGATTCTATAACAGGAACAGGTGCATAGTCCAATTTAATAACAAAAATAAGCATCTTTTAAGCCTTAAAAAATATTTTTTTAAACTTTCTTTTTATAAAAAAAAACTATAATTAAAGTATGCATATTTATATATTTTTTTCCTATTGTTTAAAGTTTTTCATATATAAACTATGCTACAATAATTGATGAGACACTAAGTTTAATAATTATATAGATATTTTATAATAATAGAGATATTTTATAACTCTAAAGGTCTCTCTTTAGGTCACGCGATTTTTCATACTTATCAATAAAGTTTACAGTTATCCAAGATTTGATGGACTAGCAACAAATTACGTGCAAAAAAAATATTTTTGAAAAGTACCTATTTTCAGTTCCTCATTTTCAATAATTCCTGGAGAAGACAATATAATACTGAACTGTATAAAATCTACAGAGAGCCAGATATTGTGAAATTCATTAAAATAAATCAAATGAACTGGGCAGCTCACATTTTCAGAAGGAATGATGACTCAAATTTAAAGAAAATCCTATTACACAAACCCCTAACAAACAGGAAAAGAGGTAGACCCAGGCTGAGATGGCTGGATTTAGTTGAGACTGATTTCCTTACTCTAAAGCAGAAAAACTGGCGAACAAGTGTCAAAAGTGGATAAAAGTGGAAGTGTAAGAAGTGGATTCGAATTCAAAGGAAGGCACTGGCCCACCCTGGGCTTTCTAGCCAGATATGATGATGATGACCTATTTTCAGAAAATATAACTTGCAACTGGACTCAATAACTTTGTTTACTATATGCAATAATTGCATAAAATTTAGTAAGCTTAGCTTAAATATTTATGGAAATACAGACATTTTTATAAAAAAAACTAATTTTTTTGCCTTGCGTTTTCTTACTATGACTGCAGAAATACTTAATAAAATTTTTAAAAAATTTTTTGTCATTTTCAAAATAACAAAATTATTTTTAATCTTAACTTTAAAAAAAATTCATAAAAAATTGCGCAAGATCTGAGTATTTAAAATAATACTTTCTTAATGCATATGCGCAGAAAAATTTTAAAGGAAAATTCCCATAATTTGTAAAGAGCCGTATTTGGCAACTAACGGAAAAAAATCGATTTGAATGACTTGAAAATTTAAAAAGTTTCAAGCTAAGAAAATTACGCACTTTCTACAAACACCCAATGAAATAAGTACCTTTAAGGGCTTTTAAAAAATGAAAATAAAAAATAAGCACTTTTTAAAAATACAATGTACCCTGAGGAATAAAGCAGCGTGATTAATCAACTAAAAAATACATTTCCCAATCATCTGAGCTCTACTTAATCTGAGGTAGCGACAAATGTATATTTTTGAAGAAGAAATCAAAGAATTTTTACTAAATTGGCAATGAAAACTAGCAAAGAAAAATTTTTTAGTTGACACTACATAACCAATAGCAAGAACCCATGTGGGTATTATACAAGGAGAAATGTTTTTTAGTAATTTTTATAGTAAAATGAAAACAAAAATTCTAAAATTATTCAAATTAATACACTGAAAATCAAAAAACTTTAGAATAAGGTGAAAGGAAATTGTGAATAGATTTATAAAATAAACTTGCCAATTTGTTTTTCAGTGTCAGCAGCTTCATCTGGAGTAGCTCTAGGGATGACACCTGGATCACTAAAACTGGTCCGAAATAAAGTGGAAATAACAAAAAGAAAAAGAACAGCAGCAACTACAGGTATGGCTGGGCTAATCTCTCTTGTCAGGTACTGGCAGCTAAAAAAATATTTTAAAAACAGACTTCAGAAGAGAAAACAAAAAAAACAAAAAAAGATCATTGAACTTACTTGATGTACCAAGATATGCACAATATGGAAAACATTTTAGTATTATTTATTTAAAAAAAAAAATTATGAACACAGATGAATCACTCTTTTTCTTAGATGATATTATCAAGCGTGTAATTTGTTTTCAGTATTTTTCCGTAATAAAACATATTGAAACAATTTAATTTTAATGTTTTATTTCTGTGCTATTATACATGGTAAAATGAGTAGCACAAGATTATTTAAAAGTAACAGAATTGAAAAGTGATTCTCATAAAAATATTTATTATATGTTAGCATTGAAATGTTTCTGAGCAGAAAGCCTTAGGAAAAACAATGTAAATTAATAACTCCTTTTACATTTATATCATAGAACTGCTAAATTTAAAGAAATATATGCTGATACGTATAATAATCAAAATGTTTTTGTTTTTTTTCAATTGAAGCCTTTTAAAAACGTGATTTTTGAACAAATTTCCTCAAATTTAGGTGGTGACAAAAGGATTGAAATTAGTTACAATAGTCAATAAATTACTTGCATAAAGTTTATCAATTAAGATTTCATGTTTGCAGATAGTTTTTCACTTAATCTAAGTCTGGTAACAAGATTTATTGATTGACAGCAAATTTTTATTTTAAACTATGTTAATTGTTAAATAAATCAGCTTTAACATATGAAGTCTTATTTAATATAATGTACAATTTGTACATAAATGTAATTCATTCTTAACTCTTACAACTGTCAGACAAATATGTATAAAAATGTCCTTATCAAGCACAGTTTCACTATTAAGCGATAAGGGAGAAAAAAATCCATCTAAAGTTAGTAAGTTCATGTAGTCTGTGTGGTAAAATTCCAGTTGGAATTTCTGTGACTTTTTCAGGTTTTGTATTCCATTATGCTTGTATTTCTAGAATCACTTTTTCATAATATTTTCTAAACTTTAAAAATCAGTAAACAATAAATGGGAATACAGTCAACCCCACAATTTTACTTTAAACAAAGCAGAAACCCCAACAATATCTGGCTTCCTTTTACACTTTCATTTAAAAATAATAGTTAAAATATAAACAAAAAATTTGCAATTTGAAAAATCTATAAGCTATTAAGTTCAACACACTATAAAATAAGTAAAGAAACTCATATAAACACCAAAGTTAACAGACTACTTAATAATTATATGAATTCAAATAGGGTTTTTCTATTAATTATTTTCTGATTTTTATTAATGTGCATTTAATAACATACAATATACAAATGACCTTTTCTCAAACAAGTATTTCAAAATAAAAAGATGCATTTTCAGTGACTTTTTAAAAAAAATTATGCAACTAACAATCAAAATGGTTTTGCCTACAATCAAAACAATTTTGAGAAAAATTACTATTTCCCCAAATCATTAAATGCTGAAAAAAATAAATATAGTAAAGGAAACATACCTTTTCGAGTAAGATACATCTGTATCTTTTTTTTAATCTTACCAGACTCCCTTTAAATCGCAAATATTTAATAAACATTAACATTTTCATAGCAATACGCAGATTTCTACGGCAAACAAAGTTAAAGAGCACAAAAATATTTATAAATATTTTTGTGCTCCTTAACGTTGTTTGTCTTAGTTTGTATTTTAGCACAAAGGTCATCCACTTGGGTATTTAATACACAGATTTCATAAGGTATTATAGTTATTAAAGCAACTGACTGAAGATGCGGAAATTTGCTGACTTCAATAAATATGATCCGTCTATATTCTATTACAATAGTTCATGCTATGACTTTAAAAATGGTGAAGGATATTTTTACTTACTGTTTAAATTGAAAACATATTAAATGGACATTAACATATTGACATATTTAACATAGTAAATGGACAAAAATATTGTATTGAACTAAATTAGTTTTTTTTATTTAATTAGGCTTTAAATATAATAAGGCTTCAAATTTAATTAGATGCACCACAGTAAGTGAACTATATCTTGATCAACTACAACAGCACTGTTCCTTACATAAAACTTAGTATTTCACTTCACTAAATTAAATAAATTTATCAATTAAAAGAGAACCATACTCACTCAAACACAAAAAAAGATGTACAAGTTCCAACAATTAGGCAGACGGTGAACAAAAAGACACCAGTTTGTCGAGCCATCATAATGCGTCCACCACAATAAAACTTGTTTCTTCCAGGAAATACCTCCCATTTTCTCACTGGAGGTTTACCTGGTTTTTCTGGCATACTAGGTGAATCAGTCAAAACCCTCGAGTAATCAACAGCTTTTGAATGATTTTTCATGGGTTCATGGAAGGTTATAGGAAAGTAATGGGAAGGAGGGAATCTCGAGGAAAAATTTTATCATCATCTCAATTGCATTGCAGGAGGGAATGCCATTGGAATCCACTGAACTAGTAGGGGGGAACAAATATCATAGTGAATATTTTAAAATTCCAATGTCACACATATTTATTTTATTATAACTTCGCAATGGAAAAGGTGTAGCCATATCAGAGGTAATAGGATAAAAACTATGCCACTCATTTTTGACCACTAAACCACTAACCACTAAAAGTATAATAGTTTTTAATCGTCCACTAAAAACTTTTAAAAATAATGATCAAGCAAATCGTTATTTTTTTAACAAACATACAGCAATCACAATTCGATTCATATGACTCTTGTTAACATAAATTTTACTTCAAATTTTTCTGGTCCATAAAAAGTAAACTTCAGGACAAAAAAAAAATTCTTATTGAAATGATTATTTTGAAGACATAATAATATTTCATGGTAATGACCTTTCAAAAACATATTTTTGATTAAAACTGAAATTATCTTATTTTTGAGCTATTATATGATCAATATAATGGTAAATACAATTGAAATAATTACCAGTTTTTGTAAGTTGAGATGTGGATAGTTGCAACTATAAAAGAATTAAAATAAAAAATAAGGGGAAAAAAAACTTTGCCATTGCATGCAAAAAAATTTCATTTGCATTTTAAATTCGTTCACCACAGATATATTTCATAAAACATTAATTAACAAAATCACACTTTTGTGTTAAAAAATATTTTAAACATCAACATGCATTGGTTCAGATCTTTAGTCCTATTTCAAAAAAAAACATTTTTTACCCTTTATTTAAAAAAATTCTTTCACTGAAAATAAGAATTTTGTAAAAATGCTAAGAGTTTCTATTATTTAAAATGTAGCATGCTTTTGCCAAAATAAGTCCAGTACTTATGAAATATAAGTAAATATTTCCACTAATTTTATGTACCCACCATATAGAGATCGAACAAAAAATAAAAAATTTCTGAATAAATCCCGTGTTTTGTATTTAATTACAGTAATTTCAATGAGATAAATCTCAACCAATTGGAATTAAGTGCAGATTATGAAAGAAACAAGAGAGATTACGACAAACAATGATAAAATAGAGATCACCCCGGTGGCAGAAATTCTTTGGACTTTCTGCGACAAACCTTTCTAGCTCTAATATCTTTCTACTTTTAATAATAACAAACAAATATATATGTTACTAATAAAATGTAAAGTAACAGAATTGTTCTGTTTACAAAAAAAAAAAAATCTATTTTAGTAAAATAAAATTTTATATACATATTTTTTTTAAGTGAATATGTAGCAATTTTTATTCTAATATCATGGGCGATATTCTCACATTTTGTAAGAGGAAAACACACGAGTTATTTCCTTTTTCGCATTTCATATATAATCATCACATCAAAAAAAAAAAATCGTGAAATCTGTAGCTGTAACTACCGAAAAAAAGATTGACGGAGAAATCACGTGAATCGGACCCTTCAAAAATAATACCGTACTAAAAATATGGGATTTTAAAAACTGTGTAGAAATAAATGCCTAAAAAAAAAAAGCGATAAAATCATTGCTTTAAAAATTAAATATTCATAAGCGCAATTCGAATTTTAGATATTGTTAAAAATATATTGGGATATTTATAAGCTACATTAAAATCAATATTAATAACTGCCGAAAATACAATCGAAATACAACATGCATTTGTGTAACAGCATAATGTGAGCACATCAAAAAATAATTATTTAAATGCGCAATTAAAATTTTAAATGCAGAAACAATATCAACTGAGAAATAACCTGAATTTTAAAAACACGGTGGAATTTGGTAGCACTAGCAGTAAAAAGCCGAAAAACGCTCACATTAAAAGTAAATAATTTATTTGAGTTTTTCGTATAGGTAAATTGTATGCAAAACATCGAGATTTTTTTTAAAAAAAAATTTGAGCATTCGTAGCAATAACTGTTGTAAAAACGATTGAAATACCACATGGATTGACGAAAATATCGGTGCAAAACGAGTGAGTCAAGGAATGAATTTTTGAATCCGCAATTTGAATTTCACGTGCCGTAATAATATCAGAATATTTCAAAAATTCAAGAGAATTCAAATCAGAACTGAATACTTAAAGACATCGAAGTTTCAGGAAAAAAAATATACAAAATAAAAGTTCATAGCAATAATTGCCAAAAAAAAATTTAACAAAACACTGCATATATTTATGAGAGAATCGATGCGAGTTGTGTGTGAAAAAGTGAAAACTGAAATGCACGATTTAAAATTTTTATGTGTGTATTTTAAAAAAATAAATAAATAAATAAAAAATTGGATCGATTTCATTTCAACCAAATTAAAAAAAAAGTAGGACATTATTCTGAATTTGTAACAAATCCCAAATTACAGTCAAATTTCATTAAAATGTAAAATAAGGTGTAATTGAAGAAAAAGAATAGGAACGAAAGAACAGGATTTCTAGAATGGAACTATCTCTTTAACTTTTGCGATTTCATGTTGCTTTTATCCCCTTATATTTTCTTGAAATTCTACCTGAAACTAGTCAATATCTAATTATTCTATCCTTAAATAAGAATTGTAAAATCAGGAGAATTTCTTTTCCCTTCTATGCATATGAAATGAATCTTTTGAAAAATGAAGTAAAAGTTTTGCTATGTTGTTATATAATAATCCTGGAGATAAAAAATCTTTTGAAAATCTTGGAAGAAAAGAAAGTTAAAATTTTTAAAAATTTTTTTTTATTATTCCCAATTAAGAATAGAAAAATCCTGAGTCTTTATTTCCCCTCTAATCCCTGAAAAATACATTTTTTTAATATAATCATGGAGAAAAAAATCTTTAGAACATTTCTGGAAAAAAAATTTTTTACTTCATTATTCTTTAATTTTCATTCTTCTCAAATAAGAATAGAAAAATCACAAACATTTCTTTTCCCTCCTATGCATGAAAAAGGCATCTTTCAAACATAATTTTAGAGAAAAAAAAATTTTTTTAAAATTTTTGCAGAAAAGAAAAATCAAAATTTTTTACTTTTTTAAGGAAAATTCTTTCTGCAAGAACTCTAACGTTCAGCGACAATGTCACCGCAATTCTGAGCAGTGAGATCATTCTTCCCTACCGTTTTTGTCAACAAAACAGATTAAGTGGTAGCAAGATGCTCATTATCAACTAACTATATTTTCAAAAAATATGTTTCGCATGTTGATAGCATAATGTCGCTTCAGGTTTATCCTTATGTTACTGCTCTAGTTCAGATTTATTTTCATCAAAGACGATAAAACATCTAGATTTTTCATCCCCTCTCTCATTCATTGCTCATTTACTCTTCCCCAACTGCAAAACGACTTTAAATTTACATTTTAAAAATAATTCAATGTTTAGAAAATTTGTATTTTAATTTGAAGTCTACTTATGAAGAAAAAAAATTCATAAAAACTTTTAAGATTTGCCTTTGGTTAAGAATATGTTTGCTTAATTTACTGGTTAATAATTTGAAGCCCTTAGCACACAGTGAGATTGATATAATAACCAAAATAACTCAGGTCGAAATAACAACCTCTGCAGAGCCTGCCCCTGCAGAGGTTGTTATATCTAGGCTGTAACTTAATGTTACAAACAAGCTATAAGGCTGTAACTTAATGTTTACAAACTATTTGTTCAGATAAATTTATACGATAAGTTAATTTAAGCTGTTCATGAACTTTCTTCTAATATTATTAATTACTGGCAAACACTATTTAGTTAATACTGTTTGGGAGACATCTAAAAAACAGAGATATAAAGAATAATTAGAGAATAAATAGCAGAGAAATTAAAGAATAAATAGCAAAATTTCATTTATTAGGAATTATTTTCTGTGGTGAGGTAAAGTGGGTATATGGTTAGGCTTAGCTAAGTGTTGCATGATAGGGATTTTCTTTTTTTTTTACTTCCGTATTAGTAAGCATTTAATGCTCAATATTTTATAACAAATTTGTTAAAAAAAAAATTTTTGTTCGATGGTAGTGCTACATAGTAATTTTAACACTGGAAGCAAAATTACTGATTAATTATATTTTTTAAAGAAAAAAATATAGGGAACAAATAACAATATCATAGTGTTCTCCCTAAGCATTTTTTGACAGATGGCAAGCTCTTTCGATCCTTATAAATGAATCAAAATGCTGCCTTTAAATTCGTATTTCATTCAAAAGAAAAATTATTTAAATGATAAAACAATAAGTACACACAAAAATTATCTGTGTTTTAAGGTTTAGTATTACAAATATTGGCTTTGTTAAGATTATTCTCAACTGGTTATATTTTTAGAAGTCTCTTTTTTCAAGGGGTATATAAATAAATTTTTAAAGTAATTTTAAAATTATTTTTTAAATAAATACCCTTTTTTTTTTCAACAAAATATACACTGTTGAATATTATTTTCTAATAATAAGAAGTATAAATTATAGAAACCTTTTAAGCTGCTTATCAAAAAAAGATTTTTAGTTCACTTTTGTTGGAAAAAAAAAATTTATGCATAGAGATTACCTCATAGCATGTCTAATTATTAACTATAAACTACAAATTTTACTCTTTAGATAATGAGTGAAAATTACTTTTTGAAATAGACACATAAAATAGTATAAGATGGTAACTTAAAAAATGTTAGGGATCAAATTCAGTTGAATGATGTTATTCGTTTTGATAAATTTTTACAGTGTTAAGTGAATGCCCTTTCAAAAACTTCTGAGCTTTCCACAATTTCATCAAAAAGCAAGAAAGCTGAATAATTTTTGGCTTAATTAAAATATAAATAAGAGTGTCAAAATTGATAATTCTAATGGTAATTTGAAGTGTTTTTACTATTGATAACAGACATATATTTTTATTCAATTTAGTTATTTTAAGGAAATAGTTTTGTTTTCCATGAAAAAAACTGTTTACGTACATTTTCAAAGATTTGCATAATGATCGTAGTTGACAATCGACATCAAAATACAAACGCTTTAGATCAAATATGCTTACAATATGCAAAATTTTAAGTAAGAGAAGAATTTAAATTTCAATAAACTAAACAAACGAAAGCATCATATTCAAAGACTAAAGCATGAATATTTTTAGAACAGAAAAACCATCCAATGTTGGATTAATAATTCAATGAGAAACGCTTTAAAATAAGATCCTTTAAAGATCTATAAAACTAATGAAAGAGTGACAAATTATTTTTACATGAAAATTATGTATTGAATAAAAAAAACACTTGATCTTACTGTGTTAAAATGTCTCGCTTTCAAAGAGGTAAATGAAAAAAACTGATAATGATCATGGCCAATGAAATTTATCAATTACAAATACAATATTCAAATATTTTAACACGTGTTTTACGATTGTTTATCATATTTTTCGTCAGGGTTTTAATAGTTATTCGTTATGAGTACACTAATAATAAAAGACAACTCATTATAGTATGTAAACAGTTGCTATAAAGAGCAGAAAAGTATTTCTCTTTCCTTTCTGATAAGTCAGAAAAGTTGTAGTCATAGTATATATGAAAAAAGTAACATTATTTAATATTTTTAAATTCCTCTGATTTCGTTGAGCCAACTCTTGTATTTAATTTTTAAAAAAATATTACATAGTAAGTTTGTTGAATACAAGGCGTTCTCATAGAAATTTATATTTTGCTATGTAATTATTTTACAGATTTTTTTTACTGTCAAAGCACAAGCAATAATATTATGTAACAGACCAATCAAAGGTATAATTTTTAGAAACAGAAATTAGTTCACCAATCATCGCACGGCCAGTAATTCTAAAAATATGTATTTTTCTTCTGTCAAATTTAAATGAACCAATTCTAAATCGAGGTCATTTCAATAGTCGTCTTCTAAAATATTTTCAATCTTCTCTTCAAATCAGCTTAATTTTATTTCCGGTTTTGCAAGTTTGCAAATTTTCGATGCGATCTAGGTGAAAATGACGTGTAATTTCGATGCTGGTGATGGCAATTGATAAATAAATTCTCATCTAAAAGTTGTTTTTAGGTAGCGCACTAAAAACTTAGTTCGTAAAATATGAAATTATTTGTACGAGTAACTCTTAAAATATAGAACAGAATAAACTTAAAAGTTTGAAAAATCCAGTGCGCAATATTTACTTATTTATAGTACACTCATTCACTCATGCCGGCCTTTACCTTTAAAATTTGTGGGTTTGTTTTGGATTAAACGTTTTCATGTGATCGCATGTAAACAACAATGTTCCATCGCATCATTTTATACGTTATTCATAAATGTATTGATACCTTCTTTTTTCTACAACTTTTGTTCAGAGAAATAAATTCTCTTGTACAATACTCTTTGAGCTTATTTCCAGAATTCCTCAAATTTTATAAATCAACTACTGACTTTAATTGCAAAAGATTACCTACTCATTTGGGCATCATAATATGTGAAGATAAAATTTCATTTTCTGATGTTTCGAATTTAATTGTTTGGAGTTTTGCAGTCGGAATTCATCACATTAGTATATTTGACAGCTCAGGTACCTCTTCAAGTGCAATCATATCTATATAAATATAAACTGCAAAATATTTGTATTTTATGCATTTTCATTTAGTTTGATTCAGAAATTCTTTCTGAATTTAAAATTTTGTGATAATTACAATTTCTTAAACGCAAAATCTCCTCTACATTTTATATTGTTGCCCATTTTTTTTACTATCACAATCGCGTATTTTGCAAGTCATTAATTATTAAAATCTTGTACTACGTATTGCTCTGTTTATTCAGAAGTATGTTCTGTATTATATACTTTGTGTTGCTTAAAATTTTTTTAATTACTGTATCTATGCTGCATAATTGCAATTTTTTTTTTCGATTTTTAATTATTTTTGTTAGTAATTGAGAATTAACATATTGTGTATTACATTTTGCTTCAATTTTTTTCCGAATCGAATCAACCAAGGTAATTCCTTGTCAAAAAAAAAAAAATTATAACAGCAGCAAATTACTCTTAGTTTTATAAATTACTTTAAAATTTTGCATGTATTAGCACTTGAAGTTTAAATAACAATAATCAGAGTAATTCCTGATCACTAGCATATTTAACACTAATTCAAATATGCTACTGATATTAATTTAGCACATTTAACTAATAATTTATAATTTTTTTATTTATATTAGTGCCAAAATTTAGTAAACGAATTACATAAGCAGCTCCCAACCTTTTTAGTTGAGCAAACCCCCAATTTCTTAAAAAAAATAATAAAAATAAAAACTTACGGGACCTAACTACTATATATACATGTAAGAAATACACATATTGTGCTTACAAGGGTGCATTGGCAAAAAATATTTGACCTGGCGATAAGTGATAATATTATGTAAAATATTTTTTCTAATCAAACTGCCTTCCAAATTTTTACCAGAATTAGCAGTTACGTCCGAATTCTTGGGAAAATATTAGGATGCACCTTTAAGAGCATTAGACTAGAAATTTATTAGTATGATTTTTTTAGAATTTTCATTAAATGTACCCCTTAATGTATTTTTACTCTGACCTTTTATTTAATGCCAAAAGAAACAGTGTGCAAAGATTAAATATTTATAGTATTGAAATAATACTGATATTTTTCTTATTTTAAAGACTTTTAATGTTATGTAGATTATATTAGAATCATTGAGACCGTAAGAAAACCTTGCTTTTAATAAATATTATTATTTTGCAATAAATATATATAAATTTTTTATATCCTTTTATGGTTTTTAGTCACCAAAAAAAATTCTTCATGTACAGTCAGGGATCTGTCCAGGCCAAATTTACTACCGTTTAGCGGTACCTTCACAAATTCAACTTTCAGAAAAACGGTAGTTTCACAAAAACTTTTTCTTAAAATTTTGTTTTTGTATCCAGTAAGATACGATAAATCCATATTTTTGTGTTTATTTTTTAATTTTCACAAATTATGTCTAAATTTTTGCGAAATAGGTAACTTTCAGAAAAACCTAGACAGACCCCTGACAGTGTCTAGTGATAGGAAAAGCTGGGAATTTATTGATTTAGAAAAATATCGGAAGATTATTCGAAAATCTTAGTAAAGCTGGGAAAAGTTTAAAGAGAACAAGCAATTGCTGATTCCTTCAGTCATGAGCTTCACTTCACTAAGAATGACGCAAACAAGTTTTCTCCCTTCTTTCAAATGGTTTTATAGTTTCTAAACATCTTTCCAGCAATAATTAATTGTTTTCTCGGTCGTTTCCCTATGATTTTTGAAATTCTGATATGTTTGAATTTGAGCTATCACTTTTTAACCTTGATTTGTGACGATCCCATTGTAATTTCACGTCTTCTGATCATAGTTTTTTTGCAAGTTATAATTTTTTCAGCCCCTTTCACATGATTTTTCAAATTTAGATATAGGAATTAGAATATTAATAAGACCAGCAAATCTTCAATTTGAGTAATCTCTTTTTGACATATTTGAATTGTGGCGATTCGATCGTAATTTCACATCCTTATCTGAGAAATTATAGGCAGTTATTTATTATTTTTCTTTTTTGCTCTTTTCACCTGGTCAGTGATCGCTTTCTTATACACTCAATTGGCGATGATTTCATCCTAAAAAATTTTATCGCTTTCAGCAGTTATTTTAAAAAGATTTTTTGATGAAATTAGGATCTTAATATAATTTGGAGTTTCTTAAAAGTAATGCAAATGAGATGGGTTACTTTTTTTGCGGGGGGGGGGGGTCCTTTTTTAATTTCTTCCACCGTGCCATTATTAAGGTCTAGATAAATAAATAAAAACTGTCTTATTTTCTGATACATAATGTTTATTTTATAATATTATTCTGCCCATCATTTGATTTTTCTCTGATTATATATTTTAAGTAACAAAGTATTTTTTATTTAATAAAATTCAATATTAGTATCATCTGCATGATAAAGGGAAAATCTTAAACCTACAAGGAAAAGTCAATTCGAAAATAACTTTGCACTAGACACCCTGTCATACTACATTTGTTAACATTTTAAAAATTGTCCTTATTTTTCATGAAAATGCTAGCTAGAAAATTTTTTACTCTATCTAATACCTTTAGTACTGAAATGTCATGCCCTGCAGTATATACATAAATATAATCTCTCTATTGCATTTTGACTATTTTCTATTACAATTTTAGCATTTTGCAATAAATCAGAAAATATTGTGGTTATATGCACATAATACAGGTTTTTATGGGCGTCTGATATAGATAATTATCCAGAATAAAGTTATGATTTATAATATTTTAAAAGTTATGCTTTCCTAACTTTTTTTGTATGTTTGCAGGTTATATTAAATTAAATGGAAATGCACTGTATAAAGAGATGATTGTAAAAAAAAATCTCATCTTGAAAGATGCAGCACATTATTTTGATATTATATTTAGTGATGGAAAAGCTCCTTTTCCATATAATGTTTCTAGTAAGTATTTCCTAAATACTTTTAACTGTGGTTGTATTGTTAGCACCTCCTTCTATACATAATTTTTTTTAAAAAAAAAACTTAACAAAACATGATTTACTATTGCTCATAAAAAAAACTCTTGACTTCAATATTTGAACATTTTATTGGGATTACTAGCATAGTGCTAGGAACTAACTTACTATTACTTACTAATTACTTTGCATATGGTCAGCCCTATACTAGTAATAAAAAAAAATTAGTAATGGGAGAAAAATAAGTTAATTTTAGTGTAAGCTATTGAGTTTTTCTTTGTTTGAAGTTTGTTAACATTAAAATTTGTTTTCCTCTCTTAGACCCGATAAAGTTAAATCAACTTTTATGATTACATTCTGATGATTCTAAATGTATTTAAAGTTGAAAATAGAATTTTTATAGAAATTTTCTCAGTGGTTGATGCAAGGGAAAGCAATCACATTAGCATTTCATGTTTTTGTGGCAGATTTCAATGATGTTTCCTATCTCTCCACTCATATAAAGAGTCATTGTTGCTCTTTATGGCAAAGATATTGTTCATGTTTAACTTAAGTAAAAAAAATTGCTCAAACCAGAATATAAATCTGAACCAAGGTTTGTAATTTTACATGCAAGAACACTAGCTATTTTTAAAAAAAAAAAATCAAAACTTGAAATATCCGTTGCATTTGTTGATTCATCCTTTTGTACAAAGTAAAACAAGAAATTCTTACATCCGAATTTGAGCTTATTGAATATGCCTATAGTCAGATCTCCGAGGTATATCACTTTAGACAAACTGATTTTTGAAATAGCTTTTTCTGGACAATGTACAGTTCGCTAGAACAAAACAGACCACCCTGAATTACTATTATCTAATGATTGTTTCTTCGCGTTCTAGGACTCAAACATAATGGCTCGAGGATGTGATTTCAAATATGCTAATTAATAAGTGCAGGCGATATTTTAAGTTATGAAATCAGACACAAAAACATACTTTCTCTGAATAAACATGCCTTTTTTTCTTTCTTTTTTTTTGTTGACGAATTCAGATTTTTGACCTCCAAAATATAGGGTGTAATTGTTTGGTCAGGAGAGGGAAAAGTTTCATCCCCTTAATTTTAATTTTTGTGTATTCCACTATCTCTCGAGACATTTTTAAGTGAATAGAAAATTTTTGCACACAATTATAAAATTCACTTATCAAAATATAACTTTTAGTAAATATTTCTTACTTTTTATTTTTTTATTTAATAAAGGTAAAAAATAAAACATTGTAAGGTATACAATTTTTTGCATTATTTAAAGTAAAGAGAATATAATTTTACATGATAAAATTCAAAATCGATCAAAAGTTCCTGAGAAATTAACTTAAAAAAAGTCAGATATTTAAAATTCGATTTTTCAGAAGCTATTGAACTCATTTTGCTCAAATTTTGTATATTACCATGTAAAATTATATTCTTTAAAATTATAGAAAAAATTCTAAACCTTACAGTTCAAAATTTTTTCAAGCATTATTAAATACCACTAAACGTATATTTTTTTCATGGAATTATCTTTGGATAAATGAATTTTATAACTATGTTCAAAAAACTTTTCAATTCGCTTTAAAAGTTCTCGTTATAGTGAAAGATGCAAAAAGTAGAATTAATATTAAGGAATTTAACCTTTGAAACACTCTCTTGACCTCTCTTAACTATAGGGACAATATTTCACAGATTGCAGCTATCACCTATATTTTTGGCATTAGAAATCAAAATTGGTTAACAACAAAAAAGGTCAGCTTTCGGTAAAGGTTCTGAAAAAGTATGTTTTTCTGTCTGATTTTGTAACTTAAAATATCATCTGCGCTTATTAGTTAACATATTTGAGGTCACCCTATCGGGTCATTAAGATTGAGTCCTAGAACTTGAAGATCCAATCATTGGATAAAGTTATTCATATCCTTTTTTTCGCATTGTACATTAAATGACTGCTTAAGACATTCTTCAGCAAACTCTTTATCATTAAAGGGATTGTGACATCATTTTTACTTTTTTGCTATCGTCTAACTAACATAAATGTTACCTTTACATTTTTTTTATTTACTTCCAACCCAAAAGACTTCCAATGGTATTTAGTATCATAATACTAACCAGTATCACAATACATACACTTAACCCTCTGCTTACAGTGTACCATGTTCTACCATCAAATGTGGTCCATATGTTGTACTAGCCGTAAGGAAAAAGTTAATATGTAATTTTATTTATATTCAACCCAGAAGTCTCATTGGAAAGTTTTTTGTACTGTAGTAGAACATTGGGCATAGCATTTTTGAAAAGTGCTTAAAGGTGCTTATTTTCGTTTTGTAAGAGCTCATAAAGGTGCTTTTTTCATGGGCTGTTTTTAAAAGTGCTTAATTATACCTTTCCGAAAAGGGAATGTTGATTTTCTCCATGTATTATGTAAAAAGCATGCTTTTCACATTGTTCTGTTCAACATTTTCACAATTCATTCAATCTCAATCTATTTTGGTGTACTGTTGGTCGTTAGCCTATGGAAGCGCCAATTATTTTACATGTTTGATGAAATACTTACGAGTCTGCATGTGCTTCTACTAAGCTGGGTTCGGTGCGATTCTTGCACTCTCATGTACATCTCTGCTGCATTTTGCAAGATATTCTCAATTTTAGGCTTTATTTTCCGCCCTCTGATATTGAACTAAAAAATCTCTTGGTCATTTTATAATGGCTAATATAATCAAGAAGAGAGTTCTTTGTCAGAAACTATTTATTTTATCATGATCATGCAAAGTCTTTGAAAATTATTTTGTATTTTCTTAATGTGTATAGTGCTTAAAATTATTTTCTGGGTGCTTATTTTTTGTTGAAAGATTTGGCTACGCATCCTGTATAAGTAACTTTGTATAAGAAATTCAACTCACTTGAGCATGTTAATTTTTGGTGAATCATTATGGTTTCAATTTATCTCATATAATTATTTTTTATTAAATTTTCCTATTTTAGTAAAAAATGGTCACAGAACAGAAAATGTCAATGTCTACCTAATATCACAAGAAGATGGTAAACAGCAAATTGTAGAAGCAGCTAAAAAAGTTTCTAAAAATATTAAAAGGGAACCTGATTTATTGAAAAATTTCCATAGCCTGCATTTAGATCAGTGTATCAAAGGTAGTTTTTTTCTTCTTTACATTTCTAAGTGTTATCTTATTGCGAATATTTTTGTGAACATAATAGGTAACTCATTGCCAGTTTTCTTACGTCCTGAACACTAGCCAAAAAATCATGGCCATATCTAGAAATTAAATAGTAGCTAGACTAGTACTTTAAAAAGCATCTTGTTTATTTATTTTATTTTTTTTTTTAAATTTTGTTTTGTTTTTATTTATATATTGTTATTATTTCTTTCTTTCTTTTTTTTTTGATTTTTTTTTTTTTTTGATAANTTTTTTTTTTTTTTTTTTTTTTTTTTTTTTTTTTTTTTTTTTTTTTTTTTGAAAATGAAAAACATAAAATGTCGATTGCAAACATAAAATATGTAAGTGCCAAAAATACATGTGAAAAATTTGAAAGTACACCATTTAATCCGACTGATTCTGTATTTTCTAGTGTTTAAAAATTTTGGTTTAGCCTTTCATGTGATTAAATCAGGAGTAGAAATTAAGAACATTTCACTATATCACCAGTTGAAAGAACCAGTAACTAAAAGATTTCAGTAGTCTGTTAGACATTTTCTTTTTAATCTGTTCACGAGCTTCTATTGAATTTTTTTTTAAAAATTCTTGCAAATTTATGACACAAAATAAATTTTAAAAATGCAATATTTTAAATTTTTATAACTTTTGTGGAAATTGGAAAATGCTAATTAAGTTTTATACTAATCAAAATTTTATTCTGCATTAATAAATGGGTTTACTGCTGCACGTTTACCATCAGTCGAGCATTATGACGAATATCGAAATTAAAAAGAAAGTTATTAAAGTGAAATTAGATGAAAAATTGCAGAGGAAGTGTAAAATTCCAAATTATGATCCAGAAAAGCAGGCCAAAAATCGTATGACTGAAACACAGGCATCAATACAAAGCAAAGAACCTAATTAGCACTCACTTTGCACTAAATTAATAATGATTAGTCTCTGGTCTGAAGGATCACTGTTATTATATTTTGCAAGTCTGGGTCAGGATTTTATGATGGTTTTGAACCAACATTAATTTCAAACCCTGAATATATCATAACTAAATGATTGACTTTAAAGACCCAGTAGAACTCTTGACAAAATTCTGTAATTCTAACCACTTTATTAAATTAAAAATATTGTCTGTATGAAATTTCATGAAGTAAAAGGTAGTTATACTACTTTTGTTTTTGGCTGCCACTTCTTTTTTCTAATTACGATATTTTTAAATGTTACTGCGATAAGTATGCGGACTTTTAGAAATTTTGAGTTTTTATATTCTCCTGTTTACAACTATGTATTTAACATTAGGTATAAATATTAACTATGTATAAAAAGTGTAATTTTTACGTCTTTCAATCTTGAAAATTAAATATTTTAAAAATTTGCACTGATGTTATATAGCTTATTCTACAAGGAATTATGAATTCAGGTATTAATTTATTTTTTATTTGTTATTGAACCGACTGAATGTAACATAAAAAAAGTTAATAAAACAAAAAAATTGAACAAAATTTTAAAAAAAAAGAACATTTGATTTGCCTTACCGAAAAGTGATAAAAACTAAATTGAGCAAAATACTTTTAGATTGTGCTACGAAAAGTTCTGTTTTATAATTTCTTTTAAATAGAAAATACCTGATCCTTTAAAATTATGAAATTTTTATTCATATGGCTATTTAAGATTTGGTATTTTAAGGATTCTTTAAATGAAATTTATTTAAATATATGCCTTGTAACAAATCAGAAATAAATGACAAAAAGCAAGATTCAGACTTTTAAATTACAAAATAATAAGTATTTGAACATTCATATGAGATAGATATTTTGATTGTTATCATATGTTAGTAATGTTGAAATGTTAGCCAAAAATATACTGGATTAAATTTCTTGAATTAATATAAACTTTTTTGCGTTGTTCCTTATGATTCTTATGACAGTTAACAGTATCTGTATGTGGATTTTCAAGAAATAACCCTGTCTAAAATTCCTCAAAATGAGAAATATTTTCTTAATTCTAACTGAAATTTTAATAAAGTATAATTTCTGCAGAAAAAATTTACTTTTTTCCCTTCAAGAATATAACAAATGCATAATTTAAAATTTGCAAAATCAGAGCCATTGTTTGTAGGAATAATAACTTAATTTATTAAAAACATATGATTTCACAATCAAAATTATGAAACTTAAATATAAATTCAAAAAAAAGTTATACTTTGATAGTATTGATTTTCTATCTTCAATTTTACATCAGGTAATTTTATAGTTTAATAATACAAGATTTTTCAATTATGAATCTTGCAAGATATATAAGAAAAATTGTTATGCATAATTTGTTCAAATATTATTAAAATATTACTTTAATCTTGTAGGTGTAATTAACATACCTGATCCCGAATTAGTCATACTTTTTGGTCTTACAAATGGTTTAATTGGATATTTACCATGGCACATAAGACTTACTGAGTTTATGTAAGTATTCAATGTATATGCATTATTTTTTAGATTTATAAATGAAATGTTATAATTTTCATATTCCAGCTAATAGATAAAAATAACAGATTGCTTTAGTTTTATTGGAGTTAAAAAGATTTTTCCATCTTTTTAACAATAGATGTAAATAAAAGTTAAAGGAATCATGGAAAAGTTTCTTGTACTGTAGTAAAAGTAACTTTGTATAAGAAATTCAACTCACTTGAGCATGTTAACTTTTGGTGAATGATTATAGTTTCAATATATATTATTAATTATTATTGTTATAGTTCTTATANTATAGTTATATTAATTTAAAATAAGTTCATTTCACTGGAAAAAAAAGAATAATCACAAATTTTCCAATCAATAATGTTTTAAACTACTAAAATGATATATTATTACATTATCATTTAATTATGGAATAATAATTTTGTTAATTTTTTTGTAATTATTTATATTTATAGTATATATTTCAATTTTAGGAATAATTTTGTATCAAAAATGTGTTTTTGTCCTCTCATCTTGGAAAATATAGGTTTTTGCCACTTTTTGCCAATTTGCTTGGCAAAAACCTGTTTTTGCCAGGACGGTTTTTACCGGTATTTACCATGGTTTTTTCCACCGGTGGCAAAATCTTGCCAACCCTGATAAAAAGTATAATTTTTACGCTCTTTCAATCTTGAAAATTAAATTTTTTAAAGATTTGCACTGGTGTTATATAGCTTATTCTGCAAGGAATTATGAATTCAGGTATTAATTTATTTGACATTATTGGACAGACTAAATGTAGCTTTTTAAACATAAAAAAGGGTAATAAAACAAAAAAGTTGGGGGAAAAAATTTATAAAAAAAATTGATTTGCCTTACACCCGGTTAACCGATAAGTGATAAAAGCTAAATTTAGCAAAATACTTTTAGATTGTGCTACAAAAAGTTAGTTCCGTTTTATAATTTGTTTAGGATGTAATTTCTTTTAAATGGAAAATATCTGATTCTTTAAAATTGTGAAATTTTTATTCCTATGATTATTTAAGATTTGGTATTTTAAGAATTCTTCAAATGACATTTATTTAATGATATGCCTTGAACAAATTGAAAATAAATGACAAAAAGGAAGATTCAGACTTTTCAATTACAAACTAATAAGTATTTGAACATTCATATAAGATAGATATTTTGGTTGGTATCATGTGTTAGTAACATTGAAGTGTTTGCCAAAAAATATACTGGATTAAATTTCTTGAATTAATATGAACTTTTTTGCATTGTTCCCTATGATTTTTATGACAGTTTACAGTATCTGTATGTGGATTTTCAAGAAATAACCCTTTTTCTAAAATACCTCAAAATGAGATTATATTAATTATTATTATATTAAGATAATATTTTCTTAATTCTAACCAAAATTTTAATAAAAAAGTTTAATTTCTGCAGAAAGAATTACTTTTGTCCCTTCAAGAATGTAACAAATGCATAATTTAAAATTTGCAAGATTAGAGCCATTGTTTGTAGGAATAATAACTTAGTAAAAACATATGATTACACCTTCAAAATTATGAAACTTATAGATAAATTCAAACAAAAGTCATGCTTTGGTAGTATTGATTTTTTATCTTTAATTTTACATCAGGTAATTTTATAGTTAAATAATGCATAACAGAAACAATAAAACATATGAAGGAAGTTAAACTGTTGAATTACTTTTTAAATCTTTATTTTTTCATTTAAGATTTTTCAATTATGAATCTTATAAGATATATAAGAAAAATTGTTATGCATAATTTGTTCAAATATTATTAAAATATTGCTTTAATTTTGTAGGTGTAATTAACATACCTGATCCTGAATTAGTCATACTTTTTGGTCTTACAAATGGTTTAATTGGATATTTACCATGGCACATAAGACTTACTGAGTTTATGTAAGTATTCAATGCATATGCATTATTAATTAGATTTATAAAGAAAATGTTATAATTTTCATATAAATAAAAATAACTGATTGCTTTAGTTTTATTGTTGGAGTTTAAAAGATTATTCCATCTTTTTAACAGTAGATGAAAATAAAATTTTAAAAAATATTTTGAACCTGCCAAGTATTTCAGGGTTGAAAAAATTTTTATTAAAATTTATCTTTTTTATATGCAGCTTTCTCATAACCATATTTTTCTGCAAAAGCACCTATTGAAAAAAAAGAAAAATTTCCTACATGCGGCAAAATAATTTTTTGTAGCAAAGAAAATCTATGAAGAAAAATTATTTATGACGAAATAATTGTGAATTATGATGAAAAAATTTATTTTAAAAAATTAATAACAAAGTCTACAAAATTTTTGTCCATATCGTGATCTGCGGCAGAACAATTCTTGGCAACTTTCAGCAGCAGTCTGTAAGAAAATGAACAGAGTAATAATAATAAAAAAACATCTCATAAGGAGACTGATTTGATGGTATGTATCTTGTATCCACCCCCTGCTTAAAGAAAGATTGCGAGATAGAAATCCACTTAAAGCCTTGGCAATTGTAATTGGAGCGACTACATTAGGAAGTGACACCTGGTGGCTGAGCGGTAGCGCTTCGCGCTGTCATGTCACAGGTCCCTGGTTCGATCCTTGAGCCGGGCAAGGTTGACTCAGCCTTTCATCCCTTCAGTGGGTCGATAAATGAGTGGGGCTAAACACTGGGAGTTCCGCGTTCGGCTGACCACCTGCCCGGAACATCTGCTCCTGCACCCCAGAGCCCAAGGTTAAGAAAACTGAGATGGGTACAGTAGGCCTTGGCCCTCTAGGGCTATCGCGCCACTGAGTTTAGTTTTTTGATTGGAAAGTATCCCCTTTTCCCCAAACTCTGAAAATAGCTGATTGATTCCTTCTAAACAGCTCCAGTAGAAATGAGAAGCGCTGAGGGTGGGGTATACATGTTCTTATAGGACCGGTATTGCGCCAATTTCGAACCCTACTGGGGCCAAGGTAAATTGTTGCTACGGATATTTCGAATAATATTTGTTGTTTTAATACCTATAAATGAACTACAAAGTGTTTCATTTCACTATTTTTGTTTTTAGATCACAATTAACTCATCATGGTTTTAGTTTTGAAGAATTTAGGAAAGTTTTACAGAGGTACAATAAATGTGAACAAAGGTTTGGTAGATAAACTCCTGTGAGATGTCTTCTTTGTTCAAACCTTCCATTATCTGTGATGTTGAATGGATAATTTTTCTTTACTTAATCTGAAACTAATTTTTTTTCTCTTACTGCAGATCAAAAAGAATATTTTTACATGTTATCATAATATTCCTTTCAAATTATAATTCATCATGAAAACGCGATTTGTTAGAAGAATCACTGTGTTGTAAATAGACATTTGAAATAAATATTGTTTTTGTTAATGAAATTCGTTGTTCATTCTTTAATGTCCAACTTTTTACTTATCTTCATAGTTTTAATTCAGTTTAGAGATTTTTATAAATTTCTAAACTTTATTAAAATTATTCTTTTTTAACAATTTATTAGTCAGAAAATCTGAAATTTTTTTTATAGGAATATGCAATTAAATAATTACAAATTAAAATACATCGTTAGCGTGTAATGTTTATATTTTTTTGACGAACTTTTTAAATTTTAACTATTTGTACTTAAATTTTTATGTGTAATAATGGATTTGTTCCCTGGTTTTATTTTACCTATAACTACTTGAAATGAATATTTCCTTTATTAGTAACTTTGTACTCTCTTTTTTTTATTGAATTTTGTTTTAAATTTTGCTTCTTTACCACTTCATATCTGTCAAAGGCTATGTTTTCGAATAAAAAAGTGCAACAGCATGAATTTTATTTTGCCCATTCAATTTTTATTTATACAATGACTTTAAACATACTTTGATTATAAAACTGCAATATATTTACGGAATTTCTTTAAGAAATGATGATTTTTAACTGTCTTTGTGTTTAGAAATAGTGCAATTATTAAAACATTTACAAAAATCTGAATCAGTAGCACCTCAATTTTTGTATAAAATAAGCCATAATGTAAAGAAGGGAAATTTAAAAATAATTAGGTTGTGTGGAAAATTCAAATACTTGCACTTTTCCTGTTTGGAAGAGAAAATTAAGGGGTTAAATATGCATTAAATCTCGAAGTTTAACTTTCAAAATCAACAAAGAATATTTATTAATTTATGAAAAACTTTTAATTGTTTGTGTTAAGTTTCAGTTTTATTATTTCATTTATACTTGTTAACTTCCATTATGATTTTTTATTAAAAATATATGATTATGTTTTCTTGTAATAAATTATAATAATTCTCTAATCCATCAAAACATACAAGCAGTTTTGTTATGTTGCTTCTTTTTATTTGCTCGTTTTATTTATTAATATTTATTAAATATTTATAATTATATCAAGCATTTTTGGATGTTATGCCTCCTATTAGTGCAGAATTTCTATTACATTTCTGTTTTGTGTAAAATAGTTCTGGGTTTTTACCTTTATTAAATTGAAAATTGTTTCATTTAAATGATATTCTTATGCTAATTTTACTGCTGAGTGTGCACATTTCTGTTGATATTGTTTGTTAATAAACATTCCGTCTATACATTGTGGCTTTTTCTTAAAACATTTGGTACATTTCTGGAATTATTATGATTTTATAGCCAACATTACGGTTGAGTAATAAAGATGACTATTTTTTTTTTCAGGATTTCCTTAGTAAATTGTTTAAAGTAAGCTTTTTTTTTAACACTGACCAAGAATATGAAATTTTATTAATTGCAACTAATTTATAAAAAATTTTTTTCACCTGAGCAATTTTGAAAACAACAGATTAAAAAAACAATATCGATTTGATAAAAATAAGAAATAAAAAAAGAAAAGAAATCATATAAAAAAATCTTAATGATTCAAATGCTGGATGATAAAAAGGATATAAGAAGTAGTTATAATTTAATCAAAAACTAGAGCTTTGATACCAAGTAATCAATTTAGTTTTCTTAATGAAGTATTAAATTTCAGTGTTGTATAATTTTTAATTTAGTTCCTTTATTTAAGTGATACTTTTTTATTTAAGAATAAATTTGTGCATAGTTTTATTAACCCGTTCTTTCTCGCTCGCTTGAAAATGACAGGGTGAGGTTTCGTCCACTATTTCTCTCTCCCAATGAAATTTCCGGGCTGGAGTGTTCAGTAGTAACGCACCAATAAGAATAAAACTAATTCATTTCTTTTGCCCAGAAAATATTCTATTTCTCATTTTACAAATCAGATGGCAGTACCAGGGTATTTTTAAGGTAATTGTAGATAGTTAGTTTATTTTAAACTAGATGTCAGCACTAATTAAATATGTGTGTTTGGCAAAATAGGCACTTTTATGACCGTTTTCTTGAAAATTAACCGATTGTTAAGGGGTTAATATTAGGTATATAGATTTGAATAGTATATGCACATTAAAATTGCTCTAATTTGAATTTCTTACATGTTAACTCTATATATTTCTGTCTTATTGAACTTTTAATTACTTATGGCTAGTTTGGAAAGTTGGTGCCACTACGTTTCTGTCAGTCACTAATTAGAAATTTTATAAGAAATGGAATAATTACAATTGCTGAGTTGTCTATAATAGTCCAAGTAACGAAGACTGAAGACATAGATTTGATTATCATAAATCAAATAGTTTTGAAATCTGTCTGAGTTTTTGATGAGTGACATATTTCGATGACATATTAAAACACTGTACAGTATATTCTTACCTAATTTTTTGAATTTTGTAGTGATACTTTTGTTGGAGATATAATTTTCTAAGAAAAAATTTATATACATAGAATTTTCAATCCAAAAAAATTTATATTTCCCTGTGGTATTAATAATTTTGAAAGTAATATGTGATAGAGACATGTCTGTCACTTTTCAGATTTTTCCAATTAGATCTCAAAAGGTATGAGTCTCTGCAAGAAATATTATATGAAGGTAAACAGCATGCAATTCTTACAAAAATAGTGTAAAACATTTTTTGTTGAGTTTATTAATTTAGAAAATTCAGGTTCATAAAAAATAGAACATTTCTAAGACTTTTCATAGTTCTATCAATGAACAAAATTTGAAAAAGATTTCATTGTAGAAATTGCTTTTAAATACTATGACTTGTTCAGCTTTTTTTTTTTTTCCTTCTCCTGTACTGTCAAAAAATTTTACATAGTTAATTCATATTTTCAGTTTTTAGAGAAGAAAAAAAAAACATTTTTGTGTTTCACTATCCCCTTATAATTTTTTCTTTAATTTGGGTGAACCCTGCAATAAAATACTTTTAAAAAAAATTATAAATTTAAAGCTTAGGATCATAAACCTTATTCTATTTATTTCATTTGTTGTTCTAGAATCCTTAATTTTTTTTTAGATATTTAAGGTAACCAGTGTTAAAAAACAACAACCTCCAGTTTTTTCCGCCACCTTTCTTTCACAAAACTATGTCTAACCGTATATTTAATATGATTTTATAGAAAATTGTATGCAGTATATTTTATTATAATTAGAATTTTTTTTTAGATATTTATGGAGAACTATGGGAATAAAATCCACTGCTTCCTTACCTATTTCTTTTCTCTCTTTGTTTCTAAAATATTTATCTTACTGAAAATGTTAATCGTGTGCTTTTTGCAACAAATTTTATGTAGTTTATTTGGTTTCTGATTGGGGGTAGGGGGTTCTTACTAGAACCGATAGTTTTTGTGGTATTAATTTAAAACTAAAAAAGGGTTTTATAAACACAACATAACCATGAGCATTTAATATGTTATTCAAGACGCAACAAGTCTGCTAAATTTCAGAACTGCAAGGCTTTTATTTATCCATCATTTTGTTAAAACTATCGCTAGTTTTTTTTATCCCACACATCCCTCTTAATTACCTGAGCTATTGCCAATGAAGAATTCATTTGTTTTTTATATTTATATGTATGTTTTTGCAAATTGTTTTAAGTTTATTTTATACAAAAATTTTTTAATTTCTTTTGCTAAGGCCTTTAGTTTTTAAAATATTTCCAAAATGCATTTTTATTCCCCTTTTCATTGCTCTTTATTTCTTAAGCTATTTATTCTACTGAATACTGGTATTTTGAAAGAAAAATTTGAACTCCATAATGTTACATAACTTGATTTTTTAACTGTGGCTTTTTGTCACTAAAAATCATATTCAAAAACATTAATTAAAGAAAAATGTTGCCTTAGGATCAATGCATTTACGAGAGAAATTGTTTTGATTCAGTCAAATCAGTTGCTAAAATGTGCCAAAATATTCCGCAAATAAAATTAAAATGGGGGGCTTTAAGTTTATACTGCTCACTTGTTTATATTGGTAGGGCCTTATTTTCTAGTTAAGCAGTCTTTTTGAGGTAAAAAAATATGAATCTATCAAAAAAAGTACATGTTTAACCAGGAAAAATATTTGTATTTTCTCTGATTTCATAGCTTGAAATAGATATCGTCTGCACTATTTAGAGTGTGTCCCTTTGACTGAAATCGCCCCTCCATGTATGAAAATCTGATTATGAAATCAATTTTCAAAGTTATTCTAGATAAACTTTTTTTTTTTAATATTATATATTCTAACATATGGTAAAAATGGTAGAGAAAAATAAAAAAAATCATTTTCTCTGGCAGATGTCTCATAGGCTTAACAGGTCATTTCTTTACCAATTGTAATAAAAATTTCAGGAATAAACTTCTCTCTCTCAGTATTTATAAACTTTTTAAAAAAACAAAATGTTTTTCTCACCCAATTTGCTTGATTTTTATCCAATGCTTAACTTAGATGTTTCCTTGTCTTCTGAGTTGAATTCAAAATTACAAGACATTAAAGTTTAGCTTTAAGAGGACATTGTACTGCAAGAGAAACCCTTCATGATGAATTCTCTTTCTAAATAAGTAATTTAATGTTTAGAAAAATAAAGTTAATTTTGAGTTAACCGTAAAGTTTAATTCTAATGGGAAAAATTGATTTTCTTCTTCAAAATGCCACTATGCGAACAAATTATAGTAGAATTACGCCCCCCTTATCCTCTTCGTGTCGAACTGGCATACTCGACTGGTTCTCGACATACTCCTGTCTTTGGCCAGGCAACGCGCTTCTTGCTATCCAGTCAGTCCTGCTCTTCTAAGATCTTCCTTCCTTGCCATGTTAATCTCGGTTGCCCTCTTTTTCTCTTCCCGTGAGGCGCCCATGAGCTTACAACATTTGCAGGAATGTTTTTATCTATTCTTAGTATATGGCCAAGACATCTCCATCTTCGTTTTAAAATTTCTTACACAGAGAATATTGCCAAGGGGAATATTTTTTATGCAGAGAATATTGCTAAGGGCAAAATCTCTTACGCAGAAGGGAAATAATCCTTTAAAAATTTGTTTGCACTTTGATATTTTGAAAACATTTTTTCAGCCTTTCAAACTTCATGGTTTACTCTAGGTTTTACTGAGCTAAATTTTTCTAAACTTTGAATTTTAAAATAACAATGGAGTTGAAACAGAATTCGCCATGAAAAGTTTTACCCACGATATAGCTTCCTCTTTAAAACCACACATTAGTAGTTTAAATATTCTGATATGATATAATATAGTGTTGCGTCAGTGATAAATTTTAATAAGAATTCTCAGATGATCTTCCATAATCACATATCAACACTTAAGATTGATAAATTTAAAAAAAAAATTCTGTTCAATTCCTTAATGCAAATTACATAGATTTAAAATAACCAAATCATAATAGTAATCTATTGTAAAATATTACCGGTCATCATCATTCTTTACAACAATTTGTTAATCAACTAATTCAATTAAACTTTACAACTATTGAAACTTTGCTTTATTATTGCTTTTATTTTTCTTCAATTCATTAATGCATGTTACATAGATTTAAAATAATTCAAGTAAAATATTACTGGTCATCATCATTCTTTACAACGATTTGTTAATCAACTAATTCAATGAAACTTGCTTTACTATCGCTTTTATTTCTGTTCAATTCATTAATGCATATTGCATAGATTTAAAAAATTTCAAGTAAAATATTACCGGTAATCATCATTCTTTACAACGATTTGTTATCAACTAATTCAATGAATTTATACAACTGTTGAAACTTTCATTTTTGCTTTTACATCTGTTCAATTCATTAATGCATATATTGCATAAATTTAAGAAAAATTTCAATTAAAATATTACCGGTCATCATCATTCTTTACAACGATATGTTAAAAACTAATTAAATGAATTTTTATAACTGTTGAAACTTGTTTTATTGCTTTTTCATTAATGCATATTGCATAGATTAAGAAAGAAAAAAAATTCAAGAAAATATTACCGGTCATCATTCTTTACAGCGATTTGTTAATCAACTAATTCAATTAAACTTTACAACTATTGAAACTTGCTTTATTATTGCTTTTATTTTTCTTCAATTCATTAATGCATATTACATAGATTTAAAATAATTCAAGTAAAATATTACTTGTCATCATCATTCTTTACAAGGATTTGTTAATCAACTAATTCAATGAAACTTGCTTTATTATCGCTTTTATTTCTGTTCAATTCATTAATGCATATTACATAGATTTAAAAAAATTCAAGTAAAATATTACCATTAATCACCATTCTTTACAACGATTTGTTATCAACTAATTCAATGAATTTTTACAACTGTTGAAACTTTCTTTTTTGCTTTTATATCTGTTCAATTCATTAATGCATATATTGCATAAATTTAAGAAAAATTTCAAGTAAAATATTACCGGTCATCATCATTCTTTACAACGATATGTTATCAACTAATTAAATGAATTTTTATAACTGTTGAAACTTGTTTTATTGCTTTTTCATTAATGTATATTGCATAGATTAAGAAAGAAAAAAAATTCAAGTAAAATATTACCGGTCATCATTCTTTACAACGATTTGTTAGTCAACTAATTCAATTAAAGTTTACAACTATTGAAAGTTGCTTTATTATTGCTTTTAAGAAATTTTTAATTTTATGGTTCAGATGTTTTTTTAAAGATTCAGCATTTATTCATGGTCTTCGCTAAATTGTCGTCTTCTGGCAAAATCTTCAACTACTAGATCAGCACTCATCTCCCTAGACAGTTGTTTACGAACTTTTTTCTGGAGATTACGAACCTCTCTCTCCTTTTCTGGAGTTGGACTCGTAAGCTTGAAAGGAACGTCTCCGACTAATTCACCACCTATGGCACCCATGTAAAGTCGTACTCTAACCATATAAGAAATCACAATACCAAGAGAATCGTTGTTATTGAGGGTCGAGGAAGCGAGGTTTGTATCCCCTTCTTTCAACATTCCATCCAAGGCAATTCCACGTTTGCTCTAAAATCATATGAAAAAAAAGTAAACAAACTGAAGAATTTTAATAATAATATTTGATTTACACAATTCAATATTATTTTACATTTTTATTAACTCGCTTTTCGTATTTGTGAGAATGTAATATCCATGCTTGACATTCCATTACTAGTTATGATAGTATCTTGACAGCAAAGAACAGAATTTATAGTCATTTTAGTATTAACAATTTTTTTTTTCATTTAAAAGCTCCAACCTCTTTCCAATTTTATTTAGAATACTGGTTGGCAAGTAATTTTAGGAGGGTTCGGATATGTTAAATAATTTTTATCTACGTCCAAAAAATAAAGCTTTTATTCATAACTAGTTTTTTTTTATTTTAACTGAAACTCATTTTAATCCAGAGAAAAATATTTTATTTGTGTAATTTATAATCTCAAAACATTTTTGATCCACTTTTTGACCTTCCGTGCTTCGGACCAAGATCGTGATCGTTTGCAGCTGACCGTCGAGTTAGAGTGTTCAAACCTCATCTGCAATTTTGTGCCTGAAAATAATACACATTTAATAGTTTCCTAACCAGTACAAGCAGTTTATTGCCCCAAGAACTTAATCATTCATAAAAATTTTCGACTATCTGGATTGCTTATATTTTCACTGAAGCTTTGTGTCTAATAACAATCTAATTATTACTCGAATTCTGTCTGCTACAATTATAATTTAACGTTAAATAGAATTTGTCATTAATCAATTTAAAGTACTCAAATCTTATCCAGAGCTCCATGCCGAATCACAATTTTAATTTCACTTTCCCTGACCCCTACAAGAACTTATGAGAATCTATTTTCAATCGAACAACAAATTATGAGAACTTATCTTCGATTGAAATTTTGATCAGTTTCCAACTAACTAGAATGTTCAAATAATTTTATCTGGAACACTGTGATGTCGACAATGAAGTTTCAATCGTTTTCTGATCTCTGTAAATGGAATTTGACTTCACATTATCGCAACAAAGGTAATTTGTTGCGATGTGTCAATTTTCAAATTTGACAAATTTGTCAAATTTTCGTTCACTGTCTGACTGACTAGGGTACTCCAATATCAAATGATACCCATTGTCTGATGCTAGTATAAGTTATAATCGTTTTGTAATTCAAATGGTGTTATCAAAATTTATCTTTAATCACAGTTTTGATCATTTTCTGCGAAAAATAAACAGACATAATATGAATAATAAATAAAAATCAATAAATTTTAAGGATACCTTTTACAAATAGACTTAGGTATAAGACTTATGTATTGCATCTACCATAAATGTAAGTGTACGAAGATTTGCAAAGAATTTTATTCACTAAAAGGAGAAAAAAATTTCGCATTTTTGTTTTATTAATCTTTAAAAAAATTTTATTTATATTTCACACAAAGTTTTAAATTCTGATTATAGAGAAAAAATTTAATGTGTTTTTGAAATTATTTTTTTAGATGCAAGCTTTTATAATTTAAAAACCATAATGAACTTATTTAAACTGTAGATAAAGATCTGTACAAAACAAATTTTTCCTAAGATTCCTTAGGGAACTTCAAATTACAGTGACCTGAAAAACATAGGGTGCCTGAAAAAAAATTTCAAGTAAACCAATAAGTTTGGTGTTTCGTTATTAAGGTTCAGTGAAAAAAAATTGTTTAACAGAGTTGCAAAAATAATAACAGTAACTAAAACGCCGCATTAATTATATTAAAAAAAAGTTTAAGAATTTAAAATAGAAAAACATTATTAAAGATCCCAGACTTACCAACATTGTCTTCCTTAAATATTTAGTTAGATAGCGAACACCCCACCCCGATATTTTACGATAGTTAAGAATCCGTATCCGTCATTGATAATTAAGAAAGCGTTAGCGTATATTTTTTTGTCTAATTATAGTAAATTAATCTATAACAAGTTGGTATTAAGTACTAGCAATTTTCCTAAGTGGTCTCCTTAACCACGAGGATTACAGTTTCGGACTTGGAATTATGATCACTTGAAAGCAAAAGCTTCAGAAATTGCTTCATCCTGCTTAAAAATCTTATTTTGTTATTCTCTGCTGATGGTAACAGATTATTTGGTAGTTAAAATCCGCGTTCGTTATTGATAATTAGGAAAGTATATATTTTTTATATGGTTTTTGTCTAGCAACTTAGTCCATGGGAAGTCAGTTCTAATTAAGACTAATAATTTTCCCTGGGTTTCTCAACCACGAAGATAGCAACTAAGGGTATGAAATTCCGGTCACTTTTTATCAAAAGTCATTGAAATGTATCATCTTGCATAAAAATCTTACTTTATTATTCTCTGCAGATGGTAAGAGATAAAATATTTTAGATAGAGTAGCTCCAGGTATTATGGGGCATCCTTCTTTTGAATCAATACTTGCTACTGCCTTATGATAATGTCCATTCACAACAGTTACTTCGGTATTTTGAATCACATTTACTTTGATATTCCTAAGAATATGTAGATAAATCAAATATATTATTTTGATTGTACCTGAGGACCGTTCTTACACAAAAAAGAGATTCTACTTCCATATTAACGTAAATAGAACTATGTAAATACATTTTTGTTATTATTAGTAACTAATTAAACCGTGGTGACTCAGTGGGTAAAAATTTGAGTTGTCATTGGGACGAACTTCGATTCGGCGTTCGATTCCGGCTTAAAGCTTGAAGCCCATACAGTTTCAGATCAATCAATGGGCACCAACTTGTATGGGAAGCAATGACGTTTAGCAACATCTCCATAATCAAGCCGTTGTCACGAAATTATAGAGCACTTTCGTGACCCCCTTGGTCCACATTGCGCTGTTGCTGGAATGTTTTTAGATAACTAATTAAAATATTTGAAATTTCCAATGTTTAAAACTTTATTAAAGTTACACTAATAATATTTTAAAGTAAAGTACTCCTACCGCATTCCTTTCTGTGCAGAGATGCCAACTTTGCTCCGGACAGCAAATATATATTTTAAAGTGGTAGTTTATCAATTGTGATTCTTGGTTTAATGAATTCAATTTAGTTAATTTTTATACACCACTATTTCCAAATAATTCGTAGGCTTATATTATTCACCACTTTATAGTACATAAGTTATGCTACACCTTTTAAAAAGCAAGCAAAAATAGTCAAATATTTGCCAAATTTACTTTGTACTTGTTTACTGTTTTTTTAATTATATTGGCGTGTCCGGAGCAGTTGGCATCTCTGTCTGTGTACCTAGGGGTCATATAGGTTAAGGTTCCATAATTTTGTGACTAATGGCATTACTTTGACAATGTAGTCAGCATTACGCACTAGCCGACTTTACTCTCCAGACAATAACCCTCGATCTGCAGCTTCTGGATTCAAATCGAATTATCTTCGATCTGGGCTTCAAGCCGTCATTAAGGATTGAACTCCAATACATCAAAATGGCAAATCCGCAATTTTAACGACTTGAGGCATCGCAGCTCTTAAATATATAACAGCCTTACATTAAAAATTAAAAAAAAAAGGTTCTGAAATACGTTTTAAGGAAGCAAACGTTTTTTTAAAAATATAAATCGCATAGTACAGAATTCAAAATGTCTGTATTTTTTTATCATTTTTTAAAGTTAATTTTAAAACTTACTTCTGTGATAAGATACTATTAAATACTGTGCTAAAATTATTTTTTGAAATTTGTATTTTTGAAAGAGCTACATCTGCCGACATGTGGTGGTGTTGCTTACATTCAGTCCTATGGCAATGTAACAGATTGAAGTTTAGAATCTTTTAACTACAATTATGTTTCCCAGGAAGCCATCTTTTTTCTCAACCTCCTTTCATCAATACCCTAAAAACTAATTATCCTATTTTCATTCTTTTTTAATAATGGATAACAGTTCTCCATACTTAAAAACTATTTTAAAAGCTTCAAAAATTGATTTGTAGCCCATAAAAAATTCTGAAATAGATATATTAAAAACATGCCTCCCTCCCAGGGCCGGATTAAGCGTACGAGGGGCCCTAGGGCATTCAAATTTTTGGAGCCCTTAGATTAAATTTTTTTTCGTATATTTTTTAATTTATTCAAATATAAAAGTATTTATATAAAAAAGCATATTTAAAATTAAAATAAATAATAATAAATTAAATTTTACTTTATTTTATTAAATTAGAACTAAAAAATAATCATAACATTTTGAAAAAATTTCATAATTTCTTAATTTTTTAAAATTTATTTTCGAAAAATCCATTTTAAGGGGACCCCTAATCATTGGGGGCCCCAGGCCATGCCTAGTCTGGCCTAATAGGTAATCCAGCCCTGCTCCCTCTGTTGGGCAGAGTTTGATTTAACAGAAAACAAAATCCGAATTTGGATAAATAGTTTTTCATTAATTGATCTGAGACAAGATTGAAAATGAAATTTCTAGAAAAACGCGAAAAGAAATTTCAAAACTCTTTTGTACTAGGCACTTTAACTCCTCCCAGAGTTTCATTTCATGTAAATCATTTAAATGTATTATGAGAAGCGTTTAAAGAATGCAACAAAAAAATTTATTAATTAAAAAAAGGAGGAAGGTGTTTGTTTTGGAGAAAGTTCAAGGCGCTGTTCTCCTTTTATTGCAAACCCCATAGCTAAAAATTGAGAAACGCGAAAGAATTAATTTAATAAATTATCATCACTAAAAATGTCAACTCACTTCTTTTATTCTTTCGAAATTGTTTTCCTTAATTATATTCCTAAATAGAAATAAATAAGACTATTCACAATCTCCCTTTTATAAATAAAGTGGATTTGACAGTTCTATTCTATGTTCAGAAATGTTTTTTTTCTTCTGCAAAGCACTAAATTTTTTATTAGATTTAAATTTTAGATGCTTATTTTTTTTTTAGTGAAAATAATGTTGCACGTAAATACTAGCTTGTGTGATATTCTGAGTTGTCTGATTTAAGGAAATAAATAACAGTTTTATTTTATGAATGTAAAAAAAAAATTGAATTAATTTCATGCATCTCATTCAAGCTATTATATTTGAAAATAAACATTCTAAAGTTGGTTGTCTTAAAGAAAACGGAAAGACAAAAAATGCAATCATAAAATACTAAAATGAGTAAATCATAAAATGCTGCAATAAAATCACAAAATGATTTTCTTAAAATGCTTTTCTTTAACTTCCTGTCGAAGTAGACTTAGCCCAATTTCTGAACATTGTAATTTGCAGGTAGTATTTCTAATTGTTATTTAATATTTTGGCGACGGTTATATATATATATATATAACCGTCGTTGAACATCCGACCCAATTTTGGGTTTACGACTATTAATGTTCAACTCCGTAGCCTTGTAATTTTGAACCAATCCAGAAGATAAAGAAACTCCTGGATCAGTACGCCCAGAGGTACCGATTTGCTATAGAAACATGGAGGACTTTGCGACTCGACAGATTTAACGTGCATCAGTCACCATTTACTTCACGGGGAGTCTTCGGCTGGCGGGGATCGAGCCCTCGACCTTATGGACATGGACGGAGTGCCCTACCTGCCAGGCTATCCCGGCCCTATTTAAAACATTTAAAAAAAATTTAAATTTTGTTCTGACCTTTAACGGCATTTTTAAAAAAAAACTCATAGAAATAAACAAATCAGGAGATAGAATCGCACTTTCGCCTACAGTTTTATTGTAGTGGTCTTTGGGGTAATAAAACTGAAAAAAGTAGTTCACGAAAGCCCATTTTCTCCAATGCTTTAATATTGCCTTGTTTTTAGTTGAAATCAAAGTGAAAAAGATACTTCCCTTTCTATCTTGATTTTAGGTTAAATAGTTGATTTACGTTTTCTTGGTGTTTTTTTTTTATTATTTTTTTTATTGTAAATTACTATTAACTTTTGATGATAGAATGTAATTTGAGAGCACTATACCTTTCAGAGAAAATTGAAAATAAAGGGTAGCTTGATTAGATAAGGAGAAATAGTCCTTGTCAATTTTTAGAACTTATAAAGATCTCTTCTCAAAAATGTAAAACTATGTTTTCCAGATCGTCGCCAATAGCCCATTTTCCAGCTCTAGTGCTAAACTACAACAACAAGTACAAATTAATTTATAAAAACAAGTATCGTTAAATTTTTGAATATGAATAAAAAAAATTTTTCAAACTACTTTTTTATGGATTTTTAATTTTAATACAAATATAACTCCGATAATCCAACATTTTTTTAGTGAGTATTAGACTATATTTTATATACAAAAAAAAATTTACCACATTTTTACTTGTAATTAGAGCATCAGAAAAAATTTGTGAAAAAGACATCGGTGTCAACTTGCGTTAAAGTGTGAAATGAGTCGAAAACAAAGATAATTTTCAAAAATCTCGAAACAAACAAATGTTTACTATTAAACAACCATTCAAAAAACGCTGCTGGCAGAATTGTATTGGTATAATTTTTATTAGAAAAATGAATAGAGAATCTAAAATACCACACGCTTATATCTCAAATTATGATTGAATTACAAATCAAGAAATTTATTTTATATGTTTTGAAATTTTTCTATTTTGTTTAATATGTTTATTGTTGCAGTTCATTTACGTCGCACTAGAGCTGCACAATGGGCTATTGGCGACGGTTTGGGAAACATCCCTGTGGATGATCCGAAGACATGCCATCACAATTTTGATCTACTGCAGAGACGATGACACCTCCGCTTCGGTAGCCCGACGACCTACACGCGAAGTCGAGCACTTTGCGGTAGAACAGTTTAACGAGGACCATTACCGCACACCCTCGGTTCCTACACAGACTGATCCAAGTGGTCACCCACCCGCACACTGACCGTAGCCAGTGATTCTTGACTTTGGTGATCTGCTGGGAACCGTGTCTTAACGATCAGTTCACTGCGGGACTAATATGTTTTGAAAGATACTGCAAAGAAACTGTAATTAAAAAAAAGGATCAAATGCACATTTAGAATTTTTCCTTCCCGTCTCCACACCTCCGACGATTTAGTTTGTCTGAGAGGGAAAAAACCTCTTAACCTCAGACGAAACCTCAAAATACTGACTGAAACGAAACATACTGACTATCAAATCAATCGTATATTTACCTTATTGTTTTCTTGGAATGATTTGTGACTATCATGTGCACTGCAATTTTGTCCCCTTGGAAATAATATTCTTTGTCCAATGTAATCTCAAGTTGAAGTTTTCCTGGACTCAACACAAACCCTTTGCTAACTGATGTACTGGGCTGTCTTGCCAAAGGACCTGGAGTATAATATTGCAATTTCCTTATTGCCATCGACACGGAATTCCTTCTGTGAGGCTTCTCTTCCTTATTATCAGCCACAAACAATTTAAGCTCATAATCTATACCTAAAGGTGCCCCTTGGTCATCAGATCCTGGTTGAATGGTTACAGACGGTGGTGCATTCTCTGGCAAATCAAAAGTAAATGGAATGGCCTTGTCTCCCAGTTTCCTTACCAATTTGTCCTGCAAAGCTGATTTTTCATTTTCCTGTGCAGCTGGGTGGATCTGGTCAAGAGCCAGGTAAAGTTGGCGGCTGAATTGCAGACCCATCACTTCATCTTCCTCTCGTCCGTATCTAAATGTTGTGACCACTTGACCAAATACTTTCCGATCTTTCAGGTAATCGTTGTCGACCAATACCACTCCTTCAACCGGTTCGACAAAGTCGCCATAGTCTCCGAAATCTCTTTTTCCTTCAAACAAAACATTATTTAAAACATTATTTTTTCAAACTGCAAAATTTTTAATACCGACATCTTTCATAAATATTCATCTAACAAAAATCTCAATGCTATAGGAAAAAAATCCTGCATTAAAATCTGCGAATGCATCACAAAATAATGTAATTTGAATGGTGCAATAAAATATTGAAAAACACAGAGGGATATGTTTTAAGACATACACATACAGAAAAATACATCGAACAGAAAAATAAACTGCATAAATAAGATATCATATATAAAAAATTGCAAGTTATAAGGGCTTGTAAGAATAAGCTTTCCTTCATCAGGCACTTAAGAATTATGTGATGAAGTAAAGCTCGTTGATTTCTAATCGCGTAGTTGTATTTTTCTGTGCATGAATATCTTAAAAGATTTTAATAAATATTCTAATAAAATGTCATTTAAAATGTACATATAAAAATATAAATTCATTAATTTTATATTTACCCAAGTATACAGTTAACTTCCCATTTGGAGCAGTTTTCTTAAAAACTTTTACGGCTACTACATATGCTAATAGAAAGAGGGGGAACATTGTTGTTAGTTTGGTGGGTCTTAAAGATGACTTAAAGGGGCATTTAAGCCGTAATGTTGAAACTCATAATGATATGAAACGCCAAAGACTTTTGTACGACTTCTTTAATTTCAGAATCCATATAAATTCAGGGGATGAATACTTTGAAAGAAAGCATGCTTATTGCTTGAAAGATCGATCAAAATAAGAAGATTTATTCATTAAAAGATTAGTTTATTTATGGAAAAAAAGACCTTTTATATATTATTTATTAATTTATTTCTAATTCACTGGTTCTTTTACATTTAAATTTAAGAGAAAATACCAATATTTATAACTGTGGTTTTTTTCATATGTATACTAACCATTTTAACTGTAATAACACAAAAGAATCAAGGAATACAAAAAGATGAATAAATTATTAATTAATTTCAATTCAGAAAAAAAATTCTCGTGAAAACTGATTTTAAACTTTGAATTTAGTGCTTCAATACTACCTTCTTATTTTTACGCTGGGAATCAAATATTGTTCTGATAATTATTTTAAAAAATTATTGTATTAATTTTAAGATTATAAAAATGGAATCAAAGAATACAAAAAAGATGAATAAATTATTAACTAATTTCAATCCCAAAAAAAGAATTTCTCGTGAATACTGAGTTTGAACTTTGAATTTAGTGCTTAAATACAACTTTCTTATTTTTTCGCTGGGAATCAAATATTGTTCTGATAATTATTTTGAAAAATTATTGTATTAATTTTAAGATTACGAAAAGTGCATGTAAAAAAGAAAAAGAAAAAAAAAAGAAAAGAAAAAAAAACAATTTTTAAATTCTCACACATTTTTTTCTGGGTTACGAAGAAAGGTTGCTCACATGATTTAATTCAATATAACTTCATGAATTCTCCAATAAATATGTACTCCCCTCACAGGGGTTCATTTTACGTTATATTTCTTAATATCTGGGGAATAATTTTCTTACATAATAAAATGAGTTATAATAGAGTGAGATTGCAATAACTTGCTTAGTTGTTTTATTCAAGGTTAACAATAGTGTGCTAGTCTAAAGAAAGCGTGATTTTCTAAATGAATTTATTGGTAACACAATTAAATATTTTTATCAGATTGTATCAGTACTACATTGTATGAACTTTAAATCAAGATTATTTATTTAAAAAAATTATTTCTGTGATGTTAACTTGCAGTTGTTTGATGACCAGCATAATTTTTATCTGATTTTGTTTCAAAATTATGTAGCTGAGTTTAATATTATCGGTATTAATTTCTGTTGCTCAGTTTTTTCAGCAAAAATAAATAAATAAATAAATAAATTTTAAAAAAAAAAATAATGATGATGATAATAATAATTGGTGAAATTATTTTTAAATATGATGGTAACGTAGCTGAGGAAAAATTCCTTAAAAGTCAGGGGCTGTCATTTAATTAATCAAAAACTAAAATAAGATATCAGATAAAAATTGAAGCTGCTTTCGAAAAGGAAAAATGCCATTTTGCGATAAAGCATATTAAAATTTGTGAAAGTTTGTTCCATACATATAAGAAAACCAAGCGGGAAAAACGGTTTATGTTCATAAAAACTGATTCTGAAACATAAACGATTCTGAGCGTGGAAGGAAAGGATTTTCAAGAAGAGTTGAAAGAAAGGAAGTATGGCCCATCTTCACTGCGTAATAACTCTCGGGGAAAATCAAGTTTTCACGTTATTGTTTTGTCAATGCGTGGTAGTTCACAAAATGCAACGAATGGCGATCCATTCGTCATTTTTATGAAAATTTGACGCAAGCCGTTCTTTTTCCTAGGTCACATATGAGTGTGAATGAAATAAGCGTTACATTTTTCTCGTTTAAATGAGCTTAAGCTTCTAATTTAATTTAAAATTTCCGAATGTACACATCATGGAAAAAAATTTAAATTGTTTTTTTTTTCTGTTTTAAAAACTTATTTTTATGTATTTTTTTTTCGAAATAATAAAAAAACACTTTACAGTGATTAAAAATATGATTAAGAACAATAATATATTTTGAACTATATCGGATCACCTAATTTTTCGTACTATTAAACATTTAGAATATTTTCCTCAGTTTTATTGTATTGCTTACCACAAGTACATAGCACTTTATCTTAGCTTAATATTAAACTGAGATATTTTTAAAAATAATAATTATTTGGTTTTTATTGAAAAAAAGTGAATAGCAGAACTGAAAATATAGTTATACAATAGGATAACTTTAGCTTAAATTCGAAGTACAATGGTTTAAAGATTATTTTTGGGAAAAGAAATAACAAGTGGCTCACTAGGCACCCTATATTAATAAGCTGTAACTTAATGAACACATTAATTGCAAAAGATTCGTCATCTCTGGTCTAGTGTCTGAGGCTATCCCTGTCAAATCACGAAATTGCGATATTTTTAACGAATAATAGGCTAATTTTATAAATGTTTCGGGGTCTCCCTGGCGGAGCGGTATCTCCCGCCAAACGCAGTGTGAAGCGTGGAGGTGGCGAGTTCGAATCCCGTCGTAACCCTGGGTGTATTCTTTGTGATGTCCTTCTCTAAATTGTTCTATCTGTTCTTCTATTTAAAGGCTTATAAGCTTAAATTGAGCAAACAAGCCTGCAAATGTAAGTAATTTCAATAAATGTTTCCGAGCAGCGATGGCTCACTGGTTTAAGCGCTGAACAGTCATTGTGAAGAACTGGGGTTTGATCCCCAGAGACAGCTTGAAGCCCACCCAGCTTCAGATCGATGAGTACCATTCTGACTGGGAAGTAAAGGCGGTCTGTGTGCAGTGCTGTCCACATTGCCATGCCGTTGGTCACTAAACCTCTGAAACCTTGGGGCTTTTACCTCCATGAACCCCCTGGCCCACAACGGGCTGTTGCGAGAGTGCTTTACTTTTTTTATAACTGTTGTCAGTTAGTAACAGTTGTTTGTGACTATTAAGTTAAAATTTTCTCATCTTTAGCAAGTGTCCTATATACTAATTATGAAAAGATTATAGTGAAACGTCAATAGGAAAAAAAAGCCATATTTTGTCAAAGGGAAAAGCATCTGAGATCTAAATTTTCAATGCATACTCGAGAAGTGGCTACAACGCTACGTTGTCTGGGAGTATAAAATTTTTTAAAATTTAAGAATTAATTGATTCGAAGGTTTTTATTTAGGTTTTATAACATCTTTCCAAATTGACGATTTTTAAAAAAGTTTAAATTATTTGTCCGTTCTAATTCACCACTTGCTTCTTAGCGGCTAGATAGCATAGATAATCTACAATTATAGCTTTGTTTCTATCGTAACTGAGCCACTGTGACTTTCTCTTAAACAGAGTATTTATTATTATTTTTACTATTATAATTTTTATTACTATTATTATTTTATTATTATATATTTAATATTTTATTATTATTATTATTTTTTTTTACTATTATTTTATTATTATTACTTTTATTATTATTATTTTTATTATTATTTTTGTACTATTTTTATTATTATTACTTTCATTATTATTATTTTTATTATTATTATTATTATTATTTTTATTATTAGTATTATTTCAAAATTTACCAATAAGAATTTTTTTTTTTTTTAATTTAAGAAATTTTCATAAAGAATAACTGCTTCTTTTAGATCTAAATAACTGCGACTAAGTGCAAATTCGAAAAATTATTGTACAGAAGCAAGCCGTATTGGGAAAATATTACGTTTAAAGCAGAAAAAGACACCTGTGTTTCAACTATATTTCATAACCATAAATCATTAAAACGCTAAATATAATATTTTTAACTTTCTTTGACTTAAATTAATACAAAATAATAAAAAAAAAGTATGAAAAAAATGTTTAATGAATATTTTCTGTCAAAAGGTTAAGATTAATATCTATTTTAGATTAGAGTGCCTGTATTGTACTCTATTTTAGATTTATCATCTGAAGTTTCAACACCCTGTAAAAATATTTCACTGCATACGTATTCTTGAGACAGGGAAAACAAGCTTTAGTTGTTTCATAATGTGATAGTCGCAATGAACGAACAAGTTACAATCAATAACAAGTTAGAGTTACGTTTATTTAAACTTTTGTGGAATGGAATAATGAGTGGAATAACATACTGATGTGTAACACACTGAGTGTATAATTTCAATTTCCAATACATACTAGGTCCACCTAATATTTAACATACTATACTATACTTTTTAGGCAACATTTAACATACTAGATTCATCTAAAATGACATCATCTTTATCATCCCGAAAATGCGTAACAAAGCTCGCCTTAGTAATATTTGTATACTTGGTATTTTCGGTCAGTTCTCCAGTGGTTAGAACAATAACGTTAACAGCAGCTAATTTTGAATTATATTTATATATTTGTGTTATATACACTAGATATTCAATATTTATACAATATACTTTTCTATTTGAATAGAATTAATACTCTATAATAACTTTGCCATTGAATCTCATTAATAACGTCAAATTATCCTGATTATCTTAAACAATAAATTCATGAAGAAACTTTTAGCGTTGCTTACGTTACGTAATTTGGACTTTACCTCCAATTTTTTTGTTTCAGAAATATTTCATTAAAACATTTTAAAAAAATCTTAAGTACTTAAAACAACTTTTAAGCATGGATAAATAAGTTGAGGTTATTTAATTTATTTTCTGTTACAGCAAAAATGTGGTTCCATGTGTTTCTTTTTTGGATTTGCATTAAGACTCTAATTTTTTTTTTTTTTAATATATATATATATATATATAAAAAATTATTCAGGCAGTTAAATATAGCTTATTTATTGCTGCCATATGTTAAGGATATTATCAAGTAACAGTCCTATTTAAGCATTATATTATTATTTTTAAACATTTAAACGCAATTGAAAATAATTTTGTAGTTACTTTGGTTAAGTTATATATAAATGTACTAAATATAAATGTACTTAGGTTATATATAATGTATTTTTTACAGTATTTGTAGAAAACTATTGCAATAATTTACTTTAATTACTGTCACTAGACGGAATAATAAATTTACTTTAAAATATTTGCTTCGAATTAAATTTAAACTTAATTATTGTCGGAGATTAAATTTTAGATCTGTTGTACCCCATTCTTTTGAGTACTGCAATCTTATAAAAAATTTGCAGTAAACAAAATATTTAGATATCATAATTTTTTATACGACTTATATGTCAAGCAAAGATTCATTACGTATTTCATCTTGCAGGTTAGAGCCTATTGATTGGAACTTGAAAGAAACAAGTGTAGTTCGATCTCACAACGTATTAATGTCAAGACATTTTTCGCACTATAACTCTTAAATAAATAAACATTACATTACAGTAAACTTATAGCTAACTTAAATTCATATAAAAAACCATCTTACCAATCTGGTGAATTTGAATTTCCGTAATATGTACGACTCTAGATTAAATATAATTCACATCTGTTTAACTAAATTGATAGTGTAATTCAGTGTTTCCCAACGTGGGTCCCACGCCCCACCGGGGGGCAATTTGATTATTAAGGGGGGGCAATTCGAAAATGGACTCTACACGAGTTTAACCCTTTTGCTCCGGGCCATTTAAATGCAATGCTAGATTTCGGTAACAAAATTGAAAGAAAAAGGCAAATTCTTAAATAATTGCGACTAATAAATATTATAAATTCGTTTGACGAGACCAAAATATCAATTGGGTTCTCGGCGTCGTCAAGTTAACCTCTCTGTGGCAGGCTCCGCGTGGACCCCCAGAAAAAATCAAACTATAGGAGGGAATTCAATAAAACCGTCAATATCAGCATTTCTTGAAATGGTTCTTGACAAAGATGTAAAAGCTATGCCACTCAGTAACAATACTGATAGCAGAAGAATAGACGAAATGATTGAAGATATTGAAAAACGACTTGTTGAAAAGTGGAAAACTAGAAAATTCTCAGTGCAAATGCATGAATCAATTTTGATAGACAGTGTGGCAGTATTGATAACTTACTTAAGACACATTGATAAAGGGCATTTTGCTGAAGAGATGTTGTTCAGTAAAAGATTAGAAAGCATCACTACCTCCAAAGATATATATAATAAGCTAAAAAACTACTTAGATGTCAATAATATACCAATGAAAAATATAACTTCTTGTGCTGCAGATGGTGCTCCTAAGATGATGGTCAAGAAAAATGACTGCTTAAAATTGATAAAAGATGAGAATCCAGAAATGATTTTTGTGCATTGTGCTATTCATAGGGAAAACTTGGTAGCTAAAAACATCTCACCTGTTCAAAATGAAGTACTGCATTCAGTAATAAAGTGCATCAATGCTATCAAAACTAATGCCAAATGTGAGCGTCTCTTCAAGCTATTTTGTGAAAAGAAAAATGCAGACCATATGAGACTTTCATTTCACACTGAAGTAAGGATGGCTCTCTAAAGGGAACTGCTTGAAAAGATTTATGAAACTGTTTGATACACTTAGTGATTTTTTAAGTGGCAAACATGAAATGAATTATCTGTTAACAGTCGATGGTAAAGCATTTGTGAGTTATTAAGCCGATATCTTTGAAAAACTAAATATATTAAATAAGCAACTTCAAGGAGCAAATAAACTCTTGTTGATGCAAAAGCGAAGATAGTGGGTTTCATTACCCTTATTGAGTTATATTAGAAATATATTAACATCAAAAATTTTGAACAGTTTCATTGGCTCCAAAAATGTGAAGTAAATGATACCGCTTTACTTTGTGGCGTAACTATCACTTAAAATAATGAATACCAATTCACTGGTATATAAGACATGTTAACTTGATTCTATCTTGAGGTATCTTTTGATAGATGAAGGTTGACATAGTATAAGATTAAAATCCCTTATTGTCGATCATCTAAAAGTTCCATCGACTGATTTAAAAGAAAAATTTTCCGATTTAAAACAAATTGATTTTCCTACATGGATGATGCAGCCAATCAATTGTCTGAATATGCAGTATCAAGAAGAACTCGCAGAAATGCAAAATGATGAGTCAGTTAAAACTTTATTTAATATAAAAGGAGTGATGGCATGGCTTTGTGAGGAAACAGAAATCAAATAACCAAATGTGAAAGAAAACTATTTTTACCGTTTCCATCTTCATATTTAACTGAATGTGGATTTAGTGCTGTAAATGATTTACTGGTAAAAAAAGGGAAATCGTCTGGATATAACACTGGGAGACTTCAGACTGAAGATAACCAAATTGGAACCTAACATAAAATCTCTGTGCACCAAGCATCAAGGGCAAGAGGATCTCGCTAAATTAAAATATTTAATTACTATAGAAAAATCTTTATTAAAATTATTTTGAATTTGAATTTTAGTTTTTCATTATATGTTTTGAAAATTTACTTACTGTGCTGCGTTAACAATTTCCAAGTGATTTCTTCCTAAAACCTATTATTTAAGTTTCTTAAGCGAACAATAATTTTTTTTTAAAATTAAAAATAATGTATATGCTACATAGGGGGCATAAGAATTTTAGAAAGGCTTAGGTGGGGCATGGCACAAAAAAGGTTGGGAAACACTGGTGTAATTGTATATAAAGCACCATGGTAAAGGCGAATCGATATTGTTTTGTGATCTATTGAAATAGGTCATATTAGTTTTCAGATATTAAAAATAACCTAGATATAAAGAAGCAGTGAAACAAACCTGAATATCATATGAATATTTTCACAAAACTATTTACCTGATATAAAATATATTTGCTAAAATAATACAAAAGGAAAGTGAAAAATCAAGAATGAATATTGTGTTATTATACAATACATCTGCTTTTCAATATCAATATAATTATAAATACTTAAACCTCAAATAGAGTATTCCATTTAGAAAGTACAGTGCGCAAAAGAAGGAAACAGCTTGAGTAACTGCTGAGCTAATGATTAGTTTTTAACGAATTAATATTAGGGGTTCGAAGGGTTAATCTTTATTATGCAAATTAATTAGAGTAGGTGATATTTTTAGTGACGAAACACCAGGCACAAAAACGTAATACTCTTTTTGAACAAACATTCCTTTTGTTAAACGAATTTGCATTCTTTGCCTTCAAAAAAATCTGATTCCAATTGAAAAATATTATTCCAATTGAAAAATATTATTGCAATTGTTTAGTCAGGAATGCGGTCGAAATTTTGGACACTATTTAATTAATTATGTTAATTTATTTTTTACGCATTTGGCATATCTTGAGAACTTTTTAAGCAATACGAAAAAAATTTGCGCTCAGTTGTAAGGCTAAACTATCCAAAGATAATTCCAAGCAAAAAATAATAATTACTCGTGGTGTCCTTATTTTTATTTATTTATTTGCTCACAATATTTGAAATTAAGATTAAAACTAGATTAATGAATGTACTTTATTATTCTAAACAGAAAATAAACCATTTTCCTTACATATCATGTCTTAACGATTGTCCCGCAATGGACTGATCGTTAAGACACGGTTCCCAGCAGATCAACGAAGTCAAGCATCACTGGCTGCTGTCAGTGTGCGGGTGGGTGACCACTTGGATCAGCCTGCGTAGGGACCGAGGGTGTGCGGTATTGGTCCTCGTTAAACTGTTCTATCGTAAATTGCTCGACTTCGCGTGTAGGTCGTTGAGCTACTGACGCGGGGGTGCCATCCCCTCCGCAGAGGATCAAAATTGTGATGGCTCGTCTTCGGATCATCCTCAGGGATGTTTAACAGACCGTCGCTTATAACCCATTGTACAGCTCTAGTGCGACGCAAATTAACTGCAATTACAATTACATATCATTATGAGTAATTATTATTCGATGTATTATTTGAAAATAGGAAAATCATATCATCACCAAAAAAGTTGTTTCATAAAAACTTTTTTTTACCTTTTAGATTTCACTTTTATCTTTTAAAACGTGTCTTGATGAATATGAGCTAATATTGATGAAAATGGGCTGATATTTTAAATCAAATGGAATATTACTAGAAAAATAAATAATTAAAATTCGATAAAAAAAACTTGATTTTTTTTAAAAATAATTTTTCTTTCTTTAGCAAGTTAAAAATATTTCCAAATACAATTACTGTAAATAAATATCATGCTAGTTTTTTAAGAAAATTGCAATTTGAATATACTAATTTATAACGTATCCTTCAAAATAATAACCAGGCAAAAGGAAACTCTTTTACTATGTTGTAAAAGAGTAACAACTAGGCTGAGACATTAAGTATTTGAACCAATTTGCGTTTAAAGTTATACATTTTTAGGATTTCTTTCTTTTTGTTCTCTTTTTCTTTCTTTTTTCAAATTTATCCTTCATATGTGACTCTTATTCTAAATATATTTTAAAATTAAAAATTAATTTTTAAAAAAAATTAGGCAAATTTCAAAAAAAAAAAAAAAAAACTTATTTAACTATTTTTTTGCTTTTTATAATTTTCTCAATTTTTTTTTATTTCAATAAATAAAAAATTGCAATTTTAACGTCGTCGTTGTTCTTTTACGTCGCACTAGAGCTGCATAGCATAATGGACTTTTGGCGATGGTTTGGGAAACATCACTGAGAATGTTCGGAAGACATGAGATCAAAATTGCGATCCTCTGCAGAGGGGATGACACCCTGCTTCGGTAGTCCAACAACCTGCATGCAATTTAAACACGTAAATAGTTTTAATTAGGTAGACCTAGTAAAAAAATTTCAGTAATCGTAATTTTTTGAGCCATTTTGTTAGGGTGAACCCTTAAATTAAATTCGGGTAAACCTTTTTGTTTATTTAAATTCTTATAAGAATTGAAAAAGGAAATTTTAGGCGAACTTGTTTTATTACGAATCCGGTAGTTTTTTAATTTTATTTTGTATTATATTTTAATTACTTATTTTTTATTTTATTTATTGACTTACTTTATTTATTTACTTATTTTATTTATTTTCCTATTTTATTTACTTATTTTATTTATTTATCATCGATACTAGAAACTAACGTCGTTACTATAAGAAGGGACATAATACATCAAAGTGAAACTTGGAAATATTTTCAATAACCATTCTCAGCTCTTCTCTGGTTCCAGAGCTAGGGAGTCAGAGTCGAAGAAAATTTTCCAAAAATCCGAAAAATTTTCGTGACTCTGACTTCGGTTAGTGAAAAAATTGAAAGAGAATCCTCTGGAATGAAAAAAAAAAGAAATAAAAGAAAGATTTTAGACGTTGGTTAAATGCAATAAGCTGTGATTACGTAGACTAGGGTTCAACCTTCAATGATGGCTTGAAACCCTCCCAGCAATCAGTGGATGCCAGTTTGTTTGGAAGATAAAAGTTGCCTATGAGTAATTCAGGACACAAACAGAGCGTTGATCTCAAACTTTTGGAGCCCTGCCTGACGTCCTGGACTCCCTCCTCCCTGGCTCACAACCAGCTGTTGAGGGAATACTTAACTTTTTCACACGTCGGAGTTGGTCAAAGTCTTTAGGAATGTCTGAAGTCGGAGTTGACCATTACAAATACAAACTCCAAAGCTCTAAATATTTTCGCCGACAATAAAACAGGTTTTAATGTTTCCAATCTCTCTTCCTAAGTTGCAGTTCGTTAGATTTCGGTATAATTTTTGTTTTTCCTCATTTACATGTTAATTTGAAACTGCTAATTTGCATACTTTTTCAACTTGATTTCTTTCAAAATTCCATAAATATTTAAAGATGATCATTACTGAACACTCTGTACACACAAAAAAAAGAAATTATTTGGAATGAAAACCTCTAAGTCATCGCAAATAACTCATTATAATTTAGCTCAAATGGTTAAATGCGATCTAAAAATAATTAAACCATAGGAAAAATGCATATATAAAATTTACATTTTAATTATTTATATGAAACTCTGTTTCTGCATACATTTATCAAGAACATTTTGTACTGGTCTGCTAATTCTACACTGCGAGATTTTAAAATCATTTTCCCCCAAACCACTATTTTCAAACTGAGTGCGTCCCCCAGTCCTCTGCAGAGGGGATGGCATCCCTGCTTCGGTAGCTCGACGACCTGCACGTGATTGAGTCGAGCACTTTAGGGTAGAACAGTTTAACGAGGACCAATACCGCACACCCTCGGTCCCTACGCAAACTGATCCAAGTGGTCACCCACCCGGACACTGACCGCAGCCAGTGATGCTTGACTTCGGTGATCTGCTGGGAACCGTGTCTTAACGATCAGTCCACTG